GGGTTCGTCCACGCATACCGCTCGCCACGGTCCCGCACCCGTGTGGCACCGCCGTCGCCGCACACACTCAGCAGGAGGACGTGGGTACATAAACCCTGACAGAAACACAGAAAAGTGGGAAGAGAATTCGGTGCAGCCACGGCCACATGCAGGGAGCACAAATCATACACGCCACAACAGCATTACATCATGGTAATCCCCCACACAACAGAAAAGAGTGCAACTTGCATGCTTTATGGAAAATGACTGCGGTGTGCATGGCAAAAGAGTGCCGTCACGCTGCCTTTCATATTGCATTTGTCATCTACATTCCCAATGCATAGCACCACAGATATTGCCCCTCCATGGTGAGAGCAAATGCCTTGTTTTGATTTCACCGCGCAGCCATCCGCCTGAGTAAGAACAAAAGGAAAATCAGGCGTCCTTCCACCTGGAGGGGGAAGGGAGTCCACCGCAGTGTCTTCCACGACGCAAACACTCCGCGGCCAGTGCCCGGTGTCGTGTGCGGACTCCGCGAGGAGGTTTTGGGCACGCCACTGTGCCACATGGTGTGACCCCTCGAAACGTAACAGCAGACATGTCTCCTTCCGGTCGCACTCGTGGCGGTGGCGGCATCCACTGCCTCGCTGCGTGCTGGTGGCGTCGGTTACGATGCTGCAGTGTGATAGAGGGTGCCCGACAGGAGCGGTGCTGGGTTGGGTGGGCAGTGCCCTCCGCGGCGAGACACACAGCGCGACTCCTGACCGCGGCGCTCACGCACCTCCTTCCGCTCCTCCCCTCTCCCTCCATCCGGCAACCGCACAGCCACCGGCACATTGTCCCCGAAGCAACACACACTGGAAAGCGTGGCAGCATATCTCTCGAGACAACAGAGCGACAGCTACACGCTGCGGTCATCGTGCCGACAAGTCCGACGCGGCCGCGCCCACACCCACAACAGCAAACACAAAAAAAAAGATCTTCCACTCCGTGCCACGTCCTCGTGCGTGATGGTGCGGCATTTCAGAGCAATACCGCTACACGCCGTGCAGCATTTCCACAGAGGATGAGAGCCGCGGCGCACTCTCAGTGCATCTTTCTTTTTCATTTCCGCGGAATGCAGCAGCTGCCAGCACCGAGTGCACGAGAAGCATCAAGCTGCACTGCAACATGTACGCCGTGCGGTTGTGTGTGCCTGCAGTCACGCAAAGCAAAAAAAAGAGCCACGCACGTGAAGAAACAAAAAGAAAAAACACGCAGCGGAGATGCAGGACAGACAAGGAGAAAAGAAAGGAGGCAGCCAAAGCTCAAGGTGGCACGGCAGCCCAACATGCGGCAACCCACAATACGCCTGCAGAAACAAAAAATAAAAACTTAAAATGAAAAACAAGAAAGAATAAAATGCAAAAAACAGTCCCCTTGAAGAAGTTTTTCACGCCCACAAAAATAATAATAATAATAATAACATCGTGACGCGGAAAAAAAAAAACACGTGTATATTCTTCCTGCAAAAGTAAAAATATATTTGCGTCAGCCGTTCAACCTCCTGGTGTCCACACAACACCCACATTTCATTGGGACGTTCACTGCGTTGCTGCACATCTTAAATCCCTTCTTCATCACACCATCGTCGTGGAGCTTAATGCCGACTGCACGTGTCATCAACATACGGAAACATTAAAGACATTCCGCCAATCTCAATATATTCCAATATATTAAAAAAAAACAAGCATATAGAATAAAACAAAAAAGAATACCCCGCGGTGCTGTCCCGGGAGGGAGAGCACGCTTTTAAATAGAGAATTGCACAGGCGGAAAAGGGATATTCAAACCAAAAATAAAATATATAAAGTAAAAGGTACGTCCAAGCAAAACGTCAATTATTTCAGAGGGGTTCGTGGAGAGGTACATATTGCTCCCACTGGAGGCAGGGGCCCCGCCGCGTTACGCCCCGTAAAGGGCCGCAAAGGCAAAGCCGCACAGCCCCAGCAGCAGCACCCGCAACGCGCCCCCATGCGTAGAGCCTTCGCTCTTCTTGACCAGTTTTAGTTCACCGACACTCAGTGGGCGGTTGTACAGAAAGAAGCTCGTCAACGTCGCATTGCTGCCGCTGCCTCCCTCGTCGCCCCCAATGTAGAAGAATGAGATTTCAAACCCCTGCGTCTCAGGTGTTATTATCGTCTCTGGGCTTCCCACAATCACACCATCCACGTACATGCAGCCCTTGTTGCCTTCCTGCAGCATGAGCGCCACTTGGTATTCTTTCCCAGGCTCCCAAGTGCTGCCCGATGCTGTTTTTTGTGCCGTAAAACACTGTCTCCCACCTACTGCCCGCGTTGTGCGACAGCCCAATGAAGTTCGTGCTGACGGGTGCATCCAGACCCGCACCCGGTAGAGGAGTGCTCAACTTCGGAAAATTTTAGATGATAGCCGTCGCCACAATAGTGAAATCGCAGCTTACAAGGGTGTGCGGCCCATTATGCTCCCGGCTGCTCACGGGCCATATTGCCCCAGACCCAAGCCCCGTGAATTCAAACCCATCTTTGGCTTTCATTGCATTCTTCGTCACAATTGCATTCACGCAAAGGTAATCTTCGATCCACGTGCCACCTCCGGACGATGCGTTGGAAAGGAAACCAACCAGACCCGCCGTGGTTGTAAACGACTCAGAGAAGGAAGAATCCAGCTGTGCCCAACTCTTCAAGACGTAATTGATCATCTGTAGCCCCTCTGTTAGTGGGACAAGTGAAATGGTGTTGCTTGCTTTAATAATCCCATCCTGTAAAATGTGCAACGCACCATCCGAGTACAGCAGGGTGTGGAAAGTTCAAAGTTATTATCCACGGCAACCGATCCAACAGAAAACGTGCGGTTGTTGTCCGTGACCCAAAGATGGAACACATTTTCCTTTTTCTCCCCCGAGAAGTACCTTTCCAATCGTACAGCATCACCTTCACTCCCTCAATGTTCGCGGTGATAGGGACTTCCACAGGCAAATTGTCTTCCCAAAAGAGTCCCAATCGTGAATTGGTCCACACGCCTGAGAGTGTCCCAATAGCCTTCGTCCACGTTGCCCCCATGTCACGCGACTCAAACAAACTCTGGCCATCTTTACACTGAACGATCATAAAAATGTGTCTCCTATTTCATTCGGTGATGCTGGGGTTAAAGCATTCCGCAAGAGAAATGCCCTCTTGAAACGCCCAGTTATTGCCGTTGTCCGTCGAATAAGTGATCCTGGAGAAAGATTGATTTTCCCCATTCCTCGCCCTCAGGGTAAACACAAGTGTGCCACCCTGCATCACAATGCCTGATCCGCCACCCTCAAGATCCGACAGGTTGCTTTTAATCCTTTGGGGAATCTGTTGTTAAAGTGACTTGGGTTCAGCCCAGTCGATCAATTTACTTTGCATGCCGTCATTGGAGTGCGTGGCATCACCCTCAACAAGTTGAATATCCCAGCCAACCGTATTCTAGCAACCATCATTTTTTTTACATATTGTAGCTCCCCACAATTAGAAGCACTTTATTGTCATTTGCAATTGCTGTGGAGTTGCACGCAACACCAAAAAGATCCTCTTCACTCACTGTACTAAACAGTGTGCGTACCCTCCATTTATCCTTATTGTTCTCGGCGGTAATTAACGGCCACGTCTCCGCGGCGTTGATGTACCCCGCCACAATATCAGAAGGAAATACATTCAATCTATAGTGAGAGCCTTTATACTCGGTGTGACCTTCAGCAAATGCAATCATCACTCCGCCAGCACGGACAAGAGAAGGCGCAGCGAATGAATCCCTCATTCCACTTTTGCCAGAACCACTTTTTTGTTCCACCTGCGTCTTCATCGGCACATAAATGTCAACCGGTTGTGGCATTCGCACGTCCCCTGACTGCTGCCCTTCTGCGTTAGCAGCCCAACCACATCCACAGCACGACATCACGACGAGGAGGAGCAGCACCGCGGAAGTAAACACACGCCGGGACATGTTGGGCTTCTGCGGCTCACTCTCTCTTCCTTCCCTCCTCCTTCCGCTGGATCCGGTCACGCGGCGACGGTTGTGTTTGCGGGGTGCCTTCACTGCAGCAACACGTGAGAGCATACAAATATGTGTGTGTGTGTGTTTGGGCGGTGTGTGTGCTGTTGGTCCTTTCAGAGCCTTCAAATTTCACAGTAGCGATTCGCGCTTGTCTTCCTTCTTTCCTAAAGTGTGTATGTGTGTGTTCCATAAGTGGAGGAGGGAAACCGCGGCAATAAGTCAGACACGTCAGTGAGGAGCAGAGCAGAGCACCCACGCAGAAAGCGGGAAACAAGAAAATCCGGAAGGGACGAAATGGAGTAGCACCACACACAGAAAAAAGCAGCACCACACACGCGGGGTGCAAGGAGAGCACTGACCCTCTCGCGGACACCGCACCCAACAGGGAATGACAGAGAGGCGGAGAGAAATGAATGGATGCCGCCAAGAGGCAATCACAATCAACATGGGCCGTGAGCATGCAGCCACTCCATGCAGTCAAACGGAGCGTCCAAACAATCACACAAAAGGAAAATCCCAAAGTATTCTTCTTTCATTCCTGGCTGCGAAAGCAAACAACCAAAGGCGACTGTAAGCACTAAGAAGGTAGAGGAAAATCCAACTGCAGTGCAATGTGCATATGTATTGCGCGTGTGACTGTGTTTACCTACGGAAACGCCAAAATAAAATGAAAAAAAAAAAAAAAACACTAAAGCATGTGAGCGTGTACACACAAATACGCAACACGGTTGCGGGAAAAATATATATATCCACATTTCAGACGTTGCGGCAATCCAATCAGTGTCATATCTCAAAAAATATTACAAGCATGATTAATAAGACAAAATATTTCCCATTCATTATGCTCAGGCTTCACAAAATCACAAAAAAATCAAATAGAAACTCTTAACAAGCGGCTCCATCAGTCAAATAAAAATATAGAAACACGTATATAAATATTTCGGTGGTTTATATAATTAAGCCCTACTCCCACCCATTTTTTACTTGGGTAACACCTCAATGACGACAACTCTCCGGCTCTTAAAAAAGACCTGCGCCCGCTCTCCCAGATGCATGTGCGCAATTGCCGAGCTGAGTTCCGCGTCCGGCTGCGGTACAATTTTCCCGTCGACTATGACGGTGGCGGCATCGCTCGCCGGTGCCTTTGGGTTGTCTCCAAGACATGGCGACATCATCTTAAATAGCATGCCGTGTTCCCCAACAATGCGGCGTGCGATGCTGAAAGAAAACTGTCCTGCATACTCCGACCACGAGCCGCAATAAAGGAACGGATCGCCAAGGCCAAGATGGCACAAAAGAGCAATGTTTAGAGTCGCAGTGACACCACTACCGCAGTAGAAGACACAATTGGAAGCATTCGAGTGGCCAGCATCCCACACGCTCTGAAGTGCCTCGAGGACATTGCTGCGGCACTCTTCTTCGGATTTGAGACACTTAAGCTGATCTGTAAGAAGCAGAATGCTGTCCCATGGAAATGAGATGGCGTTATCGATGTGTCCCGGCAAAGTATCAGCACCGTACGGACGTACCGTCGATAAGAAGCGATTTTTAGAGCGTGTGTCCACCATGACCGCATTGGGTGGAACCTCGTCTATCGTGAGGGCGCGCCTGAAGTCCACCCCATACGGCCATGTTTCCAGTGGCTGGGTCCTTGAGTCCGGAAGCCCTGTCTCCAACGGCAGCCCCGCTGCACAGTACGCTTGAAATCCGCCGTTCAGCACATATGCCTCAACACCAAGGGCGTGCAACATCCACCACATGCGGCAAGCACCCATAGCACCGGAGATATCGTCGTAACAGAGGACTGGCTTTCCCGAGCCAATGCCTCTTGACTTGCACCACTCCACAAACTTTGCCGCATCCGGCAGCGGGTGTCGCGCGGTGGTGTTCGTGAGGGGGCCACTCAGCTCTTCATCAACATCCACAAAGATAGCAGATGGTACATGGCCCTTGACATACGCATTCTTACCGTAATTCCCATCTGCGAGGTTGTAACGTACATCAAACACCTGGTACTCCATGAAAGAGTGCGCAATGTCGTCGACAGTGAGGAACACTTTCCATTGATGACCGCACGCGTTGCTCCTGGTCATTGGCGCCAACGAAACTGGAAGATCAATCTTAACCTTCTTCACAATATCCATTCCGATAAGAGAAAAGGAGAAAAAAACAAAAAAGGATAATCCGTTCTTCAAGAAAAGTCAAAAAAAAAAGGAGCTAACACACACAGAAAAAGTGGAGAATAGATTCCCACCTTATGGTATTCTCCTGATCCTTCATAGACAAACAACAGAATATCCCCATTGATGTTATTCTTGGCCGCCTCGGCATGATGCCAGGGTCAATTACCCCGTATTCTCAGGGAAAGCCAATAGCCAGAAGAGTTTCCCTCATGGGATTTTCCCTGTTTCTGACACCAAATTGACAGCATTCGAGCAGCGCCCGGGCCAGCCGCGTATTACTGGGGCAAGTGTTGCCGTACAGCGTGCGAGCCATAGAATTTCCTCAAAAAAAAAAAAAAAAGGCAACAAAAAAACGCCAGTCTCACGCTCAGAAACCGAAACCCGTCTTGGCCTGATAAGATGGCAATTCCAAAAATTTATGCCATCATTTTGAGTCGCCCTCGCCTCCCACCCTTCACGATAGTCACCAGAAGCCTGCACCCCCCAGAAGGTCCACCACACCGCAAAACGCGCAACATCCATCGTAAGTCACAATGAAAAACGTGTTTGAGTATTCGACGCCCAAATAATAATAATAATAATAATAATAACTTCACGTCACCTCCAAAATGACACATCCTCGCCTTCATGCGTGACCTCACAAGAAGCCTTTTACCTGTCAAACCCAACAAGGACGCCCAAAGCTATCTCTCATAACGCAGATACATTTGCGCTGTATCGCAATTGCAGACGTAAAGCAGATAAAGAGCTCTTCACCCTCCTACAGGCGCCAAGGCACCGCCACGAGTAAAGTAAACGCCACACAAAATGTTCTTACTCTGCCAACAAAAAAATGCACAAACGCCGCACTTTTAATACTTTGCAAGAATCCTCTCCTTCACACGTCCCACAAACCTACCACAAAAAATTAAAAACAAGAAGAAAAAAATGCCTGCTGCTCTTGATTCAAATAACCTGACCAAAGCGCAACCAACAGTGCCCTTCCCCCATAGTCCTCAGTGACCCCCAGTGACACGCAACCGCAAAGGTAAGGGAAACACACGCAAACATACATCAAAAAGCAGAAAAATAAATAAGAAAAAAGGAAGGTTAGTCGCGGATCACTACAAAAACAAACTGTATGATAATAGCGCAAAGAACATCGTGTTAAACTACCGTCTCTATTCTGGGAATTCAATAGGGAGTGAAAGGGCCTTGCATCATGCTTTACCTCGCCATGAAAGCAGCATGCATATATTACGCGCACGGACACACGCATCACCAAGAACCAAAAGTTGCCTCACCCGAGTACTTTATGTAAAGAAAGCCGTCCTCGTCCTTGTGATGTGCGTAGAGGTCCGACATCTGTGCCGTGGTGGGAGGCACTGCACCATTGACAAAAAGAAATATCGCCTCGTCCGCGTCCACCCTCACGCGCTTCCGAAGCACCAGTACAAATTGCCCCACGGTGAGGTCCGACGGCACGAGAAACTTCCCCTTGTCCAGGTCGCCAATGTCGGAGTCGTCCACCTTCTCGCAGATGATGGGAAGTCGGTCAGGATGTCGTTCACGAACCTTCGCCGCCTCTTTTTGGCGGGACTCCAAAGTGTGTGTTTTTTTATACTTGCTCTCCAATTTCTTTGGCGCCATCGCAAAACTGATAATTGCTATGGTGAGTCTTTTCAGAAGGAATGAAGTCGTGCGAACAAAAAAAAGATGCAAAGTAAAGAAAAATCTCCAATAAAAACTGCAAGAAAAAATAAATTAAAAAAGAAAAGCTTTAAATACGTTATTGAAAAGTCTCGGTGTAGCACGAAAAATAGCCAACAGTCACAAAACTTTGCACAAGAGGAAATATGTCGCAGGCGCCAAATACGGATCCTCAGATTAAAAAATAAACACACACATACACATACACACACATAGTAGTAATAATTTATAATAAAAAAAACACGAGGCGCAGACCCCACACGGACCTTTAAGAGTATGTGCCATTTTGTTCTTGCTGCCGGATTTTTATTTCTTGATGATGTATCCAATTTCATCTTGAATGGCTCAAAAGACCGCTGCAGATGCAAACCATTCCATCATCGCTGCACGTCACCACATAATGATGTTGAAATTTTACATCGGTGATTGAAGATCGGTGCAGTTTGGTGCGTACTGGTGGAGGTACGGCTTCTCCCATAGGCCAATAATACCGTCCAGGGATGGACGATGAGTGTAGCCCCGCCATTTCCCTTTGGAAGGGCTCCGCTGTTCCGTTCGGTGCCGTCGAACTCAAAAGAATGGAGGACTCTCGCGACCGTGCAGTCCCTATATCCCAGATATAGAGATAGCCATCGTTATGCCCGCTGATAATGTGTGAGTCAACACATCCAAAAGTAACACTGGCACCCTTACGTGTATGGCTTTCCACCCCCTCAAATCGCTGGGGGAGAATATCTCCCGTCAGCACATCCCAAAGTCGAAGTATACCACTTCGGTATGAAACAAGCAGTAAGGACGCTGAGGGAGAAAGCGCTATAGAAGATATCTCACTGGCAACAGGTGAGGCAAAGGTAAACAAAAGAACCCCAGTCGTCACGTCAACAACGCGAACAAGTCCCTCCTTGGAAGCTGCAAAGTAGCAGCTTCCAGATCGATTCGAGGTAAGTGATTCAATTGCCGAAGTGCTAAAGCTACGCTGAAACATTTTGGCCCCTGTTAACATATCCCAAACAGCGACCGTTCCATCCGACAATCCAGTTGCAAGAATAAATCCAGAAGGAAAAAAACAAGACGAGTAAACCTCCGCTGTGTGAGTAAATGTGTTGGCAACGCAATCCATCCAGCACTCGGATGTGCCTAATAAATCGGACGCACTACCCATAATACTTCCCAAGTTGAGAACAACTGCCTGACATGCACTCCATGAAAGGAGTATTTGACGTTCGTGACTTGTCATACCCCGTACAGGCGTATTATATTGGTACAATTTAAGGCATGCATCACAAGATGCACCACTTAGAGATTCGCCTCTTTTTTTTTCTAACGGAACCCACAAGATGGATCCCATGTGTGTACCAACAACAACAGCATGCACCTGAAGAAATGGCTCGCATGCCGTCAGACGCACATGTTTTCCTCTAGCTGCAGCATTTCCACAACGCACCTCGTTGACATCAATTGAGGCAATGAGATTTGATGGAACAAGTTGTTCTCCCAGAGGCTGAAGTATAGAGTGAACGGAGTGTGTTGCAAGCCCACGCAACAAGGAAGGATGTTGGGATTTCAAAAGCTCATACGAGAGGGAATTGGCCAATATCTGTTCCAGACCCTTGAAAGCAATATGGGGCCCAGCATCAAAATTGCCCTCGTATTGGCGGCAATATGGACTGCTGTCACAATAACCGATAAATTTCGTTATGAGAGACTGAAGCTGAGAGCGCCCTATGGTGGGAGTCCATCCACGCCAAATGGGAAACATCCCTCCTGCTTCTGAAACATTTCGACAAGTAAGGAGATAAATCAACTGTTGAAAATGGTCTTTACTTATGGTTCCCTCTAGAGGTTTGATTCTCCTCATGAAAAATACATGAGCCCTTTGCCCATCGTCTTCATCAACATACTCCAAAAATTGTTGTTGGGCCAACAAAAACGGCATCAGTTGAAGCAATGAGACAATTCTTAACGGTATCTCACTATTTGCTGACCCATCCGGTTTTGTGATTGACTCCAACTTTTTCAGCTGCGCATGGGCAGTGTCCCAATTGCCCTCATGTATGGCGCGGGAAATGGCACGAAGCGCCTTTCTTTCATTGTGCTCTTGACGAAGAAGAGCTGCAGCCTCATCACGAAGAATTTGGGCAGATGATGTAAGCCCCTGCTCTATCAGCCATCCCACAACTACATGCAGAAGCTCACCCCTTATGGTGTCACTTCTTGGGTTGAACTCCACAAGTGTGGAGCTTGGAATAGAAATGGCCTCCCCCACCTCACTTCTCTGCTTCGACTCCTCTTCTGATACGAAGCGGGCAGTGGGTGGTTCATCCATTACGAACACCGCGTCTTCAGAATCCCGTGCCCCCTCCTTCTTTCCTCCTTTCTCCTGTCTCTGCGTGTTTTTGTATAACTGATTGTGCTACAAGCCTTTCTTCTCTTTTTCAAGGCGTCTGATAGTTGCTATTGCAGCATGACAAACAAAGCACGGGAGGGGGCACGCCGACCGCAGCAAAGAAAAAAAAAAAAACGTATCCAACACACACCAATAAAAAAAATCCATTAATTTGGTAAAGACACCATAAAGAATACACAACAAGTAGTGTAGGAACGCAGTCGTAAGAAAAACGAGGAAAAAAGGACCATCAAGAGTACGCACTGTTTTCTCTTCTTCCTTTCTTTTTCCCCCTTGGTTGGCTAATTTATTGCTCCCCATCAAAGTTTACATCGCCTTAAAACTGCCCCTCGCCGCTCACTCACCTCCCGTGGCGTCTACCACGCTGGCTAAAGTCGCAGAGAAGCCGAATAAAATCCTCTCTGCCAATTTCTGGCCAAGTCTTTTTTGTAAAAAAGAACTCCGTGTAGGCGCACTCATACAGCATGAAATTGCTCAACCGCTGCTCCCCACTGGTGCGCAGCAAAACCTGCGGCTCCGCCCCGCCACCATCCGCTAGAACTGTAGCATCTTCCGCCTCGTGCCCCTCTTGAGTGATGCTGCGAAGCATATGGCTCATGAACTCCGCATTTGATATTGGAATGGACTTGTCCACTCGCCGCAGCAGCCGATTGCAGGCCTCAAGAACTTCTTCCCGCCCACTATAGCTAACGCATACATTGACAACAATACGACGGGGACGGTGTCCACGAGACTCTTCCTCCACCAGTAGCATGAGTTTTCGCAGAGAAATCGGAATCCTTTCAAAGGCTGGGGAAATAAATCGAATAAAAATCCCCTTTTCCCTCGCAGAACTCCGTACGCGCTCAAAAAAGAAGTAAAACAACGCCATCAGTACATTCACCTCAAGCGCTGATCTCTCCCAGTTCTCAGTGGAAAAAGCATACACTGTAAGCATCTGAATGTTGAACTCCAGACAGTTATCAATGAACTCAATAAGTTTCTCACCGCCACAGCGATGTCCATCTAACGTGGTGTGGCGAAGAAGTGAAACGAGGGCCGAGCACCTCTCAACACTTGACTCCGGTGGGTTTTTTTCCTCAAGAATAGAATCGCACAGTTTTGTCACAGCATCGACAGACACGGTACTCAGTGAAGTGAGTTCGCCAAACCGACGGTTTCCATCCATGATGACCGCAAGATGGCGTACGCCATGATTCAAAATGCCGTTTAGCGAACAGCCAACAGGCAGAATGGAGAGATGTTGAGTAGCATCCTTTCCAGAATTTGCCCCCTCATCGCGAGGACAAGCTTGCGGTTTCAGGCACATGTCTTGTCCTTCGGCCTCCAGCAGCATCTCGCACATCTTAAGATAGCGAGAGACAGCACGAAGCGCCGGCTTACGCCAAAGTGAGCAGCACGCACAGGGCAGGCAGACAGAAAAAAGTATGGCAACGAAGAAAAGAACAATCACTTCAAACCCCTCCGTCAAGGCGTCGACGCTACAAAACCTGCAGCAATTTAAGACAAAAACCGGGTCACTAGTGTCTGCAAAGAGCGTCCCGAGTACTCTCGCATCGTCCTCAAAGCACGCGGATGCGTGCATTCAAACTACAGCACAACAAAAAGTAAAAGAGAAAAATGAGGAAAAAAAGGCAGCCAAAAAAAACAAAAAGTGAAGCATGTCTCATATATGCTCAAAGACTCCCAAAAAAAAAAAAAAAAAACGGGAGAACAGAAGAAAACAAGAGAGTGGACTAAAATAATAATAATAATAATAAACAAGTAGTGAATAAACATGTGTACAGATAGGCGATTCATTTCTTCTTGGGAAGTGATGTGGGGTCCAAAGAGCCCTTTTGAAGTCGTTTCAGGAGATCCTCATTCGTCTCCACGTGACGAAGACGTACACCAATTTCACTACGGCGCATGAGCACATCCGTGTTAAACAGGGAGAGGGACTGAAGGGTGTTGATAAGCGGCGAAAACAGCGTGTAGCAGCCCTTTGCAAAGTGAACAAGTGGGCGATAAAGCCACGTGGCCAACCAAAAAAGCAATGATGTGCCGTCATCTAAGACGTCAGCACTTCGGCCATCACGACGGTTGGATTCCATCGCAAAGAGTCTCAACTGCTCTGTGTGATCAGCCACAATCCCGCGCTCCTTTTCCAGACTAACTACAACGTACTCCAGCTGCTGTTGAATGTACTGAAGATCACTGTTTGTTTTGGTAAACATGTCTTCGAACCTCGATGTGGATATCCGAACATCATTCACGACGACACGCTGCCGTTCTATAATCTTATCTACTTGCTTCAATCGTCGTTTTGTGTTTTCAACCGTCTCCTCCATTCCACGCACCATGGCGCACAACTCTGCGTGCGTCACCTCGTGAGCATCGGAAGCCCCCGACACGATTAGCGGCACGACAGCATTCCATTCACTCATTTATAACAAAATGCGTGGAAGGCAAAACGCACACAAAACCTCATATATATATATATCCACCCCTTAGGCAATTTCGCTCTCAGAAAAGGGATGAAGCCTACGGAACCCAAAAATAAATTTAGAAAAAAAAAAAAAAAAAAAAAAAATCAGATGGAATAACTGAAATGCTTAAAGCATGCACCAACAGAAAAAGTACAAGCGAAAAAAAAAAAAATGCGACAAGGGTTAGAAAAGGAAAACAAAAAAGAAGTATTAAAGTGATAATGAGCACAAGTCCCTGGTGAAAAAGGCCTGCGGTTGCCTGCTTTGCTCCTCCCCTAATCGGAGTCGTCCAACAGCAGACGCTTTTGTCCTTCCAGAACAAAGGCGTCCTGCACCGTCTTCGTTGGTGAAATTGAATCTTCATCGAGCATGAGCCTATGTACCGGAAACGCCACTGGCAGCGCATCCGTCATCTGTTTAACTGTTGCGGCACACTCGTGTGTGGTCGGTTCCTCCTGACCCCTCGTCGAGCCCTCCCTACCACTGCGATGATCAGCAGGGGAAGTGGCGGTGGCGCTATTTTGACGTTGCTGCTTCTCACGAAGGTACATCGAGGCACTCTCAATTGTTTCACCAATCTGACCCCAATCCACGTCTTCGTCACCACGGTCATCGTCTATTTCGTCCTGCGGAGGCGGGATGTACAACATCGTCGGTTTAGCTACGCGTCTCGAAAGAGTGTCCAGCACGCGACGCTCTTCATACGTGTAATTGCGGTAAGGTTCGGGTAGCGGCGCCAAAATACCACTTTTAAAAAGTCGGCGCTGTCTCTCACTCACCTCTTCCTCCTCTTCGTCCTCCTCGACCAATGATGAAGAGGAAGATGTGGATTGGCTGATTGCACGGCGACGCTTTCGATTTTGTTTAGTCCCTTCTGCATCGGCTTCTTCACACGAGCTCTGCAAGCTCTCATCGCCGCTCCCACTAGTGCCACTGCTACTCTCCGAATCGCAGATAAAGTCTCCGGCCGAGCTGTCATTGTCGTTCGAGTGAAATGTGCTCATCACATTCTCATTCGGAAAAGCCGTCTGATTTACGCACTCTTCGAGATGCGGCTCCGCACGCTCTACGGTCTCAACTATTCTGTTGTACCGCAAACGATTGTACCGTGCGTTTATGTGCCAATAACGTGAAACCGTCATTTCAGGAACCCCCGCCAAATTCCCCTCACCGCGTCGGCGCTGCTTTCGGTTCTTCATCTCCAGCAGGCGATTGTACTGAGAAATGTACTGCGAGAGAAATTCCTTCAAGCGGTAATCGACGGCGGCGGTTCCACTGTCGTTGTGGTGACGTCGAACGTGACGCCTCCAACTAATCGCACGACGAAACACAATGTGAACCAACGGGGAGTCCCACTCAGGCACGGCCTCCATTGAAGGGATTGTTAACGGAAGACGGTCCACTTCCTCAACCACATCCGCCGTGTCTGAATTATCGGTTTCATCTGCCGCCGCATTTTGCACCCCTTGCATGTGCGCAAAAACATCGAGTGGATCAATAACAGGATTAGGGTCCCCATCCACATACTCGATTCTCCGTCGCGTTACCGTTAGATGTGGAATAAGACGCGTGCCAATCCAGTGGAGGTAGCACGACGGACACACGTACAACTCAGCCGGATTAAGAAGATAGAACTCATCCATGATCTGATCAAAGTACACATGTCTATGAAGCACATGAATGCCGCCATCATTCCCGTCGCCGAGATCGTGAATAAGAACGTTGCTTCTCTCGAAGCGAAAGGTCCTCCCCTCAATCGTTTCCACATGCCGCTGCAAGGAAAGCAGCATTGGCTCCCGAAAATGCGGGGGCTGCATGAACATACCCCGGTCTGTGGCGATGCGAATAAGCGTGGCGGTATTGTAAAACAGCCGCAATGTTCCATCAGGGCTCATAATCTCAACAAACTTCAGAGGATGCAGCGGCTCCGCTGTGACAGCGTCAATGCGTTCCGCTGCTGCATTCTCCAAATTCGGATAACCATCCGCCGCATGATGCCTGCGGGGCAGGCGCTTCTTTGGGGCCATCCTCGCCTTCCTTGACGGCACCTTCAATTGTTGTACACGCAAATAATTGTGTGTGCGTGGCTATGTGAAGAGGGAGAGAAAAGGAATGAAGGGAAAGAAATGCATTTATCATAAATGGTTCCAAAAAAAATGCAAAAAAACAAAGCAAACTCCCTCCCAAAATATATATATATATATACCGCTGTAGCAACAAAAACAAGAGCAACCCTCCATTGATGAGCTACCAAACGCAACAATAAAATCAAGAACGATCTAAAAGGTAAGTAACATCCGACAAGAACAAAAAAACAAAAAAAAACATTTCACGCAAAGCAGTAATGGTGGCGGTTTACTCCTTGAAAAACAAAAAATTCCACAGGAACCACCCATGACGCATCATCTAACACTAAAAAGAAACATGACATCGCAAGCGTGCACAAAACCAGGTAAAAAATGGAGAAAAAATTTTTACATGTATAATATGTACGTGTACATTATATACATACAAAACCAGTGGCCTACTCCCCCATTTTTTTATTTTCACTGGAGGTAGAGACATTAAGATGTGTGCGTTTGCATTTATTTTTTGTTTTTACTCTACCGAACAAACGAAAAAAATTGACGAAGAGATTGCATAAATAAATCAAGCGGCACCACGCCTAGAACAATCAGAAGTGCTACATTTCCCAAAATCATCCCCGAGGCGGCCAAGTCAAGCCGATTCATCCAGTCCCGACGCCTCGCAAACTCTTCCAACGACTCGACTTGTTCCCCATCCCCCTTGTCGCTTCGCGTTGATTTCTTCCCGCTTTTTCTCGATGACGCGTTCCACGGGGCTCGCCGCTCAACATAGCCAAAATACAGAATAATACATAAAAAGATGTTCCCGCTCACATAGACGGCCACATGTGTAGGTGACAACTGACTGATTATTCGCGGCAAATCTGGAATAAAAGGGGACCACCGCACCAAGACAATATTAGAGACGCACATAATGGCCCAGTTTATCCATGACGTGGAGCGGAAGAAAATCGTCCACGTACCGTTTAACGCAAGGAAGAGACAGACGAGCAACCAGTCAACTTTCGGCTCCGACAAGGGAAAGCTCAGAAACACAAGAGAAATAAGTATGTACGGAATGAAACTGGAGTTGCCAGCGGAAGAAGCATTCGATGCTCTCTCCTTCAGTTCCTCACGGCGTTCCCGTCGTAGCTGTCGGATGCGCTGAATCTCCTCCCCACGCCTTTGCGCCCCCTCACGTATCTTATTCGCAATCTCGCCCTTTGTTCCGCTCATCCCTCCTTCCCTAAAAGCCAGTCCTCCTTATAAGCGGGATTATAGGCTTCCGCCACGTTTTTGTGCCAATGACACCCTCAAATTGACCGCCGTTTTCGTCGTCGTAAATATCACCCTCCTTTTTTTTTTTTTTTTTTTTTTTTTTTTTTGCGGTTTCCCTTCAGCCGAACGCCCGAATCCCCCGCTTCAGAAAATTGAGGCCAGACGCTAGTACGGCAACAAAGACAGACACAAAAGTTCGGAGAGAAAAAGAAAAAAATTTTTTTACTAAAAAAGAAAAAAAGCAACAGCCGCAACGCAAAAAATAAATAAAAAATAAAAGTGTCTTAAAAGTAAAATAGTGCCAGAAGACTATCTGTGTGCACCTGCCCCAAAGGTCGCAGCGATAATTCATTCAGTCCCGCTCATCCCTCAGACGCAGCGCATCTGAAATTTGACGGAAGAGTCCCTCACGCACCTCGGAAGGAATAATGGAGCGGGAAAAGGGCAACACCTCCCCCACCACGTCGTGGGCATCCAGAGACTCTCCAGACTGTGCCCTGCGATGGACCACCTCTTCCACTCGCTGCGACACGGCTTTTCGCCAGTTGCTGGCGGTACCCAACCTGCACGACAAGTAGTCCCTAAGCAGATGCTTCTGCACGTTACTCATTTCCTCGTATATCCTGGCACCAGAAGAAACGGGGCCCTCTTCAACCTTGCACTCCGTGTGCTTCATGGAGCCTCTTTCCAGTTCAATGTCCAATGCCTCTATATAAATGATGCGTAGGAGCAGCCCACCTTTTCTTTGAATTCTTTTCCCCTTCTTTCCTCTGGCTTCTAGAAAGAACTGCACTTCAAGGGGTTTTCGAAAAAAGAAAGCAAAAAAAGAACTCATCCACCCCCTTTGTCACCAAAGAAGAGTAAACAAATCTACTTTCCACAAGAGCGCTATGCAAAACCAACATAACGGTATAAAAAACATAGATGTCTCATTTCCCCCTAAGCCTTGCTCACCTTTTTAATGGCCATAAAAAAAAAATTTTTGTAACAACAACAAGAAAGTATGCACTCCGTTCACGCTACAACAGAAGAAAACAGTCGCTGTGGCGACGGGCAAAAAGTCCCCCAGAAGAAAAATTGGTAATACACTGCTTCCCAAACGAAGACACCAAAGGAAGACCTTGTAAAACTTTCATGCCGGCACAAGATAAACTGGGTGCCGCGTTAAGAGCAGTGTAAATACCTTCCATTACTGTGATCATACTGCTGGTGTGAAGCATCATCTCCGAGGCAAACGGTTGTCCCACAGCACAAACACCACCTATGTCCTGTCCATATCGAATAGCCTTTTCCAGAACTTCTATCAACGCACAAACATCGTACAGGCCTAAATTAAGCCCCTGTCCAGCGAATGGGTGGATACCATGAGCAGCATCACCAAGAAGTAGACATCTCGGAGAATACGGACGAAGAACAAAGTTTAGTCGTAAAGGAAATGTTCCCTGCCCACGCACCTGCTTTCCATTCACAGTCCCCTCATGGACCCCAAGAATGCGAGGAATGTCCTTTGGAGCAAATGCATGGAGGCGCCCATTAAGTTCCGAGACAAGGTCAGATTGTGAAGCTGCCATCAACTCGCGAGCGCGAGCAGCCGTTGTGGAGAAGATTATGTTCGCCGAGTCCTCTGATAAGGGGAGCATGGCAATGACATCACCGTTCAAGAAAAAGTTCTGAAAGCAGCAAGAATTGCCATCATCCATGCGTTCCAAACGAACTGTGCAGACGTAAGCCGTTTGTGCGTAGTCGTGTTGAACAGCTCCCGTCGCCAACAATTCTCTCAAAGAGCTTCCACGTCCGTCACAGCCAAGCAAGAGAGAAAAATTAAGCAAATCTTCACCAGACGTACTGCGCAGCACCGCACCACCCAATGCGCCATCAACGACATCCTGTGGTGGAAGGCTGACAGAGGCCATCGTGGAGCCAAAAACAATTCGATCCTTGGCGACATTTGCGTCGTTGAGTTTTTGGTGATCCTCGATAACATTAATGAGCTCGGTATTGATCTCTGCGTTGTAGCTGACAAATCCAAGCGGTCGATTCAGGTCAGTAAACTCAAGGAGTGGCTCGGCTGTCGCCTCATTCCCACCAAGCAGGTAACTCATAAAATAACTCACAGGACGGTTTTGTTTGGGAAACAACGGAGAGTTGGTCTGCTCGTGTCGGAGAGCGATACGGTAATAGGGATGCTTTGTCTGCAGACGCCGCCAACAGCCCAGATTGTCCAGCAGCTTGCTTGAAACGGGTGTCAAACTCACTGTGCGTAGTGTGTGCATCACATTCTGCGCGTCATACTGAGGCCGAGGAACAGAATCCACAAGCAGTAACTGAGAGAGACGGGATGCGTAGACAGAATGCGCCGCCGTGGAATCTTCCCTACTGATCTCCGAGAGGAAACGAGACCGCAGCTGCTGCAGTGAGGCCAGCGACGCTGCTCCAACAATGCCCCCACCACAGACAACCACATTGAATAAATTCCGCGGTATTACGGGTGAAAGAGCGCGCAGGGATGGGTGAAACATGAATTATTTTCTTTCAATAAAGGGACTGCCAATGTACTTTGTGCTAACAACCAACAATGGGTAAACAGGAAATAATAAAAAATAAAAAAGGAGACAGGAGACAGGAGACAGGAGAAGGGAGAAAGACACCCTAATAGCCACACTCTAGAAAGAGAAGAGAAAGGGATGATGTACCCCTCTCTTTTCTCCTTGAAACTGGCATGCAACTCAAAAAAACTAAGTGAGAGTTGGTAAGAGTGGGTGTTCCCCTCCAGCATCTTTTTTTTTCCGCCGAAGTTCATCTTGGCGTTCAATTCTCCGTTTTCGTCTTTCATTTATATTGCATCTTTCGTTGTTGTTGTTTTTTCTTATATTTCGACCCCATTGGTGCCGTCATCTTCACACATCCTGCTGCCGGCATGTTCCCCACACCTTCCATGCAGCCCGTCACCATGACGGGGACGGCAGTCACTCGTACCGTGTTGCTTTGATTGACCTCGACAAGAGAAACCCAGAGACAAAAAAATATACATGTTAATAATAATGCAATCACCACGCATGCAGTAAAATAGAAAAACACACGCTAAAAAAGCATTCTTCTTGTTACACTGCTCGTGATCATCCCTTCCCGTGTGATTTCTGCTGCAAAAAGCGTCACCGGAAAAAAGTTTCGTGGAAAATTTGTCCTTCCCTCACAGTCTTTCCAAGAAGAGAGGAATGAAGTAAAGAAGAAAGGTAATAAGATTCGACAAATGCATTCTTTATTTCTTTCCGTCATTTTCCCCCCTTCGTTTTTTTCCCTCCTCTTTTTCAGGCAATCGTTGTTGTTAGCCGTCTTTTTTTTTTTTTTTTTTGTTGTTGTTGTTGTTTGGTCGTTGTCTTTTTTATTGCCAAATACATCCAATAGCCCGCACGCCACCCACCGAGTGGAGATGTGAAAGAGCGCCTCGGCCCCCCGGAAAGGGGGGCAGCAGCGGAGAGCGTAAAACACGCACACACACTTTACACATCCGCCCCGGGTTGGTGCAACGGCTCAATAATCCACACGCTGCTGTTGTTGCTGGCGGCCTTCTTCGGGAAACGCAGGGATCAATTAAGGGTCTCCGATTCTTCACGAAAAACCTCGTAAACTTTTGGGGTAGTCCCGCGGTACCTCGACAAAATCACCAAAAGAATCATTACAACGCAAAGGCCTCCAAATGCTGTCCCGGCAGCCCACAAGAACCTGCCCCGACCGGGCGGCTTCGTCACAACAGGATATGCCACGTCGTACAAGATACCGCACATGCCGCAAGCAACAATGGTGATGTTTGGGTCATCGGCACAACCACCGCCTGCCGTATTCCAAGCGTTGTTGAAGACACACAGTTCGTTGTGTTTTTTACGCAGGAGCCGAATAAAACCATTCTCGCCCCAACCTTCACCCCAGGAGTTGCGCACAACCCAGTAATCCTGATTTGTTTTGTTGTCCGTTCCGTAACCAACAAGTTGCACGGCGTGGCTTATGGTGATATTCTCGCCGTCCTTACCGCAGCCATCAAACACACCACCCGTGTAAAACATCCAATCACTGGCAGCAACACTTACAGCAAGAGGACCCTTTTGGACGAGAGCCTCTATTACAGCCTCGTAGTCGTTGTGTGGAAGCGAAGCGTAGCCGTAAACGTTTACCACACGCGGCATACTCCTATTCAATACACAACGCCCTGTTACGGAAGTCTCTCCACTCACATACGGATATTCCGCATCAAGTGTAATGCCGCCGGTATTCATAATGTATTCCCACGCCAACTGCGCCGTGCCGCCCCCACAGCCACCCGAACCGCCACATTTCCGCGTATTATTTACACAAGATGTAATTTGCTGTGTGCTTAGTGTCAGTAATTTTCCTGAGGAAATGGCGTACATGCTCTCAACTGATTCAGTCGCCGCATGTGCCCAGCATGAACCACAAGACCCTTGGTCCTTAACGGGGGTAAGGACAGGATTTTTGGCTTCTTGCCAATTCAGGGCCTCTGGAAAAGTCGCCTTCGTGCGCTTGTAGGGAGCCCTCTGCGGCGACTGGGTGGATTGGGGAGCAGCAACACGACCATTAAACTTTGCATTAAACTCCTCCTTTGTCATGTCACTAAATTTATTAATACCCAGTCGGTATGAGCGGCCCAAGGCGCCATTAAATGCTCGGACCTTCGCCAGGTTTTCTTTGAAGATGGCGGCCCGCTTGCGATGCTCCTCAGGGTCGGCATACCGCTTCCCAAAGTCAGCAATGTACTTCTCAAAGGTGTATTGGGCCAAATAATCCTCATCAGATGTGACAGTCATTGCTGAAACAGCCGTCGCTACGGCTGTAGTGGCCATCGCAACAAAAAAAAAGCAACAAATCAAGTTCCACATGCGGAATCTTATAATAATAAAAAAAACAACACAAGCGAAAGAACAAAAAAAAACTGAATGATAACTTTTTTTTCTTCCTCCTAAAAGAAAAAAAGAATGTTTTTAAGAAAAAAAGCCGTTTGTTTCAGCGTGCCCGGCATCCCCACAGATCGGCGGATATTTAGCCAACACTCTCACATTGCAGCGAACCAGTGCATTGGTAAATTTATATTCAAAAAAAAAAGAGAAGAAGAAGAATGCTTACTCCATGCACAAAGTGTGGATAACTTTGGGGCCTCAAAACCACCGGACTCCCCCCAGCGTCGATGACAGTAGTAGCAGGGTGAAACATCAAAACCTGTTTTTTTTGTTTGTTTGTTTGTTTCTTTGTTTTGATTTTCCTTTAGGCACGCGTTGCCTTCCAACACGGTATCGTTTAAAAAAAAAAAAATAACGAATAAGGTAGCAGAGCGCAAAAAAACAAAACACGCTCTCATCCGCTGAGCCGCACCTGGTCACACATTTTTCCCATGGACCACATACAGCTAACTTTAAAAAATTCCTACTCATCGCTCAAGAAAATAAGAAACGTACACTCTACTTATTATCCGCATTCGGCGGGGAAAAGGATCCACGGGTGTCCTGAGTATACAACGAAACTCCATACTCACGATCCTGTTGCTCCGCTGGAGGTGCCTCTTGATCGTAGTCGTATCCTGGCGGCAGCGGTTGACCATATGCGTATCCCTGTCTCGTTTGCTCCGCCAGATGTGCGTAAGGATTCGGTGCGGTATCACCAGGACCACCTGAAGTCAAGATTCCTTGAGATGCAGGGGCCAAATATAGTGGAGTTCCCAAAGACTTCTTATTTGGTCGCGTCCAGTAGCAAATTAGCGCTGTGCAGACACCAATTTCCAGCATCAAGAATAGGCACCCAAGAACAATCAGCACAATACCAACGGTGCGCGGATTCAAACCTAAATCATTGGTTCCCTTTGTTAAGCGCTGCAGGGCAATGTAAGGGTCCTTGCTGCTGTACAGGCGCACTTTAACGGTGCTCGGTATTCCAGGCTGGTAATCGTTGTCAAGATCGCCAAAAGCGTACCTGGCACTTCGGAGCTTGGTGTCCTCGACGTATTTTTCGTTGCCGATCTCACGAACAACAAGGTACAATTGCCTGAGGTAGAAAATCAGCCGACACTCTCCGCAAACTTCACCCACATTGCACGGAGTCGGTGTAAAAACAAATACGCCGCCCATACCAATACATTTAGCCTCAAAGTTTCTACATTCACGCTTACATTTTTCATCCTTGCCGTACTTGCATTCAGTCGAAAAACATCTGTAAAACAATTTTTTGACACTAATGAAGGGGGCCTTTCGCAGAAAAGGAAACACGGCGCTAACATTCACGAAAACTGGGAGCTCCGTTGGCGGCGCTTCAGAAACGGAAACAACAGCCTCCGCAAAGACAGAAGTGGCCCCATCCACACTTTTGACATTTAGCGACTCGCGTCTCAGAGTAATCGGCACATCGTTAATGGTCCCAGTCCAATCGTTCATGGGTTTAGGGTTAAATTCCTTCACGGCATCGCTGAAAGCTTTTCGAAGGTCCCGTTGACTGAAAAGTATGCTGCCTGTAATGATGAGCGCAGGGCTACCGATGAGGAGACAACAGGCACACGCCACAACACTCTTCAAAAAGTCCCCAACCGCATCGACGATGCCAAACAAACACATTGTGGGTGTTCTTCTAGCAGCAGGTGCTAACAAAAAAAAGAGAGAGAAAAGACAACATAAACAACGGAATATACACCCGAATAGGACCTGTCCCCCCTGTCACACATATAGGAAAACATATATATAATAAGAAATATGTATTACAGTTTGGCTCCATGCACCCAACATCTCCAAAATTGGGTTAGATTTCATGCAATAACCCCGTACGAATAAGCGAGCAAACAAAAAAAAAAAAAAAACATCTTCTAAGATGACCAGGAACATTGTGAACTGACAAGGTAGCATTCTTTAGTTTCCTGCAACCAAGCGGATTTCCCTCAAAGCCGATGTTACTACCGGCGGCACGGCAACGCGTGCCCCCCAGACCTCATGGTGTTGCAACTGTGCCCCAGTAATGCGCGGCCGTTCCGGGCGCTGGTCGAATGCCGTCAGCCCTGTGCCAACAGCCACGACCCCATAAAAAAAGCATTGCTGGCTCCTGGCTTTCCCCGACAATACGGGGCAATTGGCCCTGGCACACCACGCTGAGGCGGCCGGCATTGCTAGGGGAGCGCCAATGATACTCGTACAATGGTGGGCGGAACATAAAAAAAAAAAAAAACTCCACTCACTGCCTTCCATTGAAGTGTCTTTGAAAACAAAAATCAATTAACAAACAAGACAGCAGGGCCGATTAAAAAGACGCTCAATTTTCTTTCTTCAACCGATCTGGTCTTACTTTGTTTACACAGGTTTCTAACATCTCTCGTATGTTATTTCTTCCTTTCTCTTCATGCGTACTTTTTTTCTGGGAAACCTCCAAATTATCCTATAATCCTCAATATTTATCACCGGTTTTATCGAGCACTGCACTAAATATCATTTTATTCACCATGGCGATTGTATAGGTATAAAAACATTCATTGGCATTTTGCCGACCGTTGGGCGTGGAGTAAGAAGAACGCGCTGTCCCACAGTCAGCCTTTCACGGCACGCCGCATCACTCTGTGACTCCAATGGAGTCGCACGGCCGCCGTCGAGGCGTGAGAGCGAGTAGTACATGCACTCAATGTTGTTCGGAGGTTTGTTGTATGGTGGTGTCATCACGTTAACAAAGAGGGCGGGTTCCGTACTCTCATTCTCAATCTCGTGTAGGACACCACCCTCATGCGGCCCAAATGACGTCACCAGTGATGCGGGGCTGCTTGCGTTGGAGCGCGCCTCCGAAGTACCCGAGAAAACAACAATGGCCTCCCCGCCCCGACGATTACATAGTTGCGTGTCCACAGGCTCAAACCCCTGCGCCCAATCAAACGAAGTGATATGTATTCTTCCAAATAGAATTCGCTGCCACACGACCATTGTGCAGTGGTCGTGCAACGGCAGTACACCACCTGGAGGCACAACAAACCAGCAGAGAGCAATGTCATCAGTCTCATACAATGTGCTGCACCCCACTCTCCCGTCAAGCTTTCCCTTCCAACAATTGGGGCCACTTGAATGAAGAGCATCATGGAGTGAAAAGGCATGTTCACTGATTGCAGCGTTACAATCTGCCATGCATCGTTGTGCCGCCTCCTCTGAAACGTAGCTTTTGAGATCAAATAGAGTCAGTTGTGCGAGAGCCTTCGTAATGCTGGCAGAGCAGAACTGGCCGCCTTTGCGCTGTAAAACGGTCTTAAAATTCAACATCGGCCGCAAAATACTAAAGAGAGAAAGTCTCTTTAACCTCGATCCTTATCCACGGAAAAGAAGGTGTAGAATCCCAACTCCACTCACCGCCACAGCCGCCCCGTCCTCACTTAAAGCAGAAATCAAAATATATATGTATTTATATAGCGAGTGTTGGTAAAACCCTCAAAAAAAAAAAAAAAAAAAAAGGGAAAAAAAGGTGATTTGTTGTTACCATCGTCCTCTAAGTACAAGTACACTAGCAAAAGGCGCATTTCAATTGTCCCACAGACAAACAAAAAAGTAATGATTAAAAAGAATTATATTTCACTTTAATGATGGAAAGGCAATGAACTTTATATGCATATGTATATATGTTTACTGATCAGCCGGAAAATCCTGCGGACCCCTCTCCCCCCCATCAGTCACGGAACAACAACAGCAGAGAAAGAAAAGAAAAAAAAAAAAAACCGACAGCTACGAGAAAGGAGGCAAGGCAAAAAAAGATGTTGCCCTCTGCTTTGCCCTCAGCAAAAAAACATGCGTACGGGGTGAATAGGCACCACACTGCGATCCGCAATTCATTTGCTCAATTTTCACCTCGGCTATTCTTCGGCACTTTTTCTCATCCAGCTCAATCATATTCCTCTCTTTAAGCTCCAATGCCCTGACGCTCTCACGCTGCCAATAAAGTCTTTTCTGCACGTACACCACCGGGAGCAAGGGTTCTCGTCGCATCAACCGACGATTCGAAATAGAATTTCGTTGACGCTCATGTTTTTTAATTGCGTTTCTTACCTCTTCTGCACAAGATGGGGTAATCAAAGAACGCTCCGATCTCAATAAGTTGCTCCCTCGCCTAGCCGCAATAGGCGCCAAGGGACTCCCCTTACTCAGAATAGGTGCGGAGAGGGAGGATTTGGGGTCCGATGGTCTTCTTAACGACCAATAAGAATTCACTTTATAATCATTCATTTTATTCGGTAACGGGATACACCTAAGCGTTCGCCGCGCCAAATATTTTCTGGAAAAACTATTTGAAGGTTGAAGCAAGCATGTTGCCCCAACTTGTTCCGTTACTTCCGCCGAGTTGGCGTCCACCAATTTATTCACATTTAGCCCCACTCCCTCATTTATCATCACTTGATTCTCTACGTTATCTATTCCCTGGCGTTCCCGCCGTCTTTGCTGCAAATGTGGCAGTAATGAATTTTGCCCCAAAACAGCGTGCGTCACGGAATCCTTCACAAATATTCCTTCTGTGAGCTGAGGTAAGAGTACCTTGATAGCATCTGGCAGGTGAAGAACCGCAATGGACGTGGGCATCTCGCCTTCAACGGCTCGCAGGACCCGTTGCACTTCCATCCCCAATTCAGGTAACTCAAACATCGGCGCATGCCCGTCACAAGACGCAGACGGTAGACAAGCGGAAAAATGAATCCCCCATTCTTCCGACAACGCACCACAAACGGCAGGTTGAGTAAACACGATCGCTCTCGCCCCCCACGATGCCACCCGCATTTCCTCTCCCCCTTGAATCTCAACATCGCGGGGCACTCCAATGAGTTGGATGACAAGAGAATCCTCCTTCTGCACAGTATTACTTCGCTGCGGGCAATTCTGCATGGCTTTAAAAGTAAGATCTATCATATCGCCCACTGAGCTTACGCAGTGGAAGAAGGCATGTGACAAGACTGAAACCTCCTGCACCGCGTACCGACGCAAGCGTAAAGGCAAGCTTGTGGGTCCTGACATCTGATAAATCAAGTCCAGCCAATGATTTTCTTCACGTTCAACAAAGGAAACAAGAATTCTCAGGTGCGGTATCTGTTCCAGTGCCGCCTGACAAAAGCAAGCAAACATACCAACAACTGCGGCACTTCCGCCTGTTCTTGCCATAGGAACTAATTCATTCAGAAGGTGTAGAGAAAGATGCCTTATCCGGAGAGGAATTGCGGTCCATACCATGAGAAATTTCTGTAGACATGGAAAATGAAAATGGGCAACCCAATAAATTACACTTTTCACTCGATAATATTGACTTTTCTTGCTCCGCGTTAAAAAAGAGCAAACCAAGAAGAGAGCCGCTGTAATGCATTTCATTACGCAACCGCATGGGAGACTCCAAGGAATTGCCTGTTAGGGTCCCAGAATCTTTGTGCGAGAGCAGTACACACATTTTATGGCCCGCCAGAAAGAACGGAACCAATCCGTTGACTGCCCCATGCATGCTGAAAGGTGCAGCACTTGCGCTTCCGCCCAGTTTCGTAAGGCATTCCTGATTCCAGTGCTCTCCCTCGGGAAAGTCCGCATCGTGATTTGTATGGGTTTCAAATGAAAAGGGGAGTGGCCGGCTCATGCGATATTTGACTGTCAAACCCAATCCACAAGACCCGCACGACGTCGCAGGCAAAACCGCGACACTGAAGCCACACACGCTCCTTTCTGATCACACCATAAATATGCATAATATACATAATGGCAAAAAAAAAAAGATAAGAAAAAAAAAAAGCAAAAACAAGCAAACAGGAAGGAAATGCACATAAAAAAACATGAGACGTCGCAGCGAGACAAGGAAAACAACAAAAGGAAAAAAAAAAAAAGAAGAAATCTTCTTTTTCAAAGAGAAAAGAATAAACAAAAAAAAAATTGCAGCAAACAATCAACAAGGGAAGAAAGGAAAGAGTCATTCCTCCCTTCCGTCCTCAGTAAGGCAGCATGAGACACCGCGAGGCCAATCTTTGCTGTGTTTGTTTGTTAAGCCTTTTAAGCGCCATCTCCGATACAGACGGACGCAGTGATCGCATGGAACTGTCCGTTTCAAATTGCAAGCACCGGGCCGTACCATCGTTAACCTTCTCGGGAGTCGCAACACCACGAGGGCGTTTGCGTTTTGCGGTGCCGCCGGGAGATGTCGTGTGTGCCGCTGCAGCCGCCAACCTGTCTTCCTCTGCGTATATGGCAGACGGCAAAAGCTGCTCTTGACTGGCACGCCAGCACTCACGTGTGACACTATCTATGTCACACGCAAGCAATTCAACTGCGCTGCGCTCTGCCTGTGAAAGCAGTGAACTCGTGGCAGAACCATCAGGTGTCAACGGCACCACCTCAATTGCTGTGGGGCTGTTCCTCCCTATCGACTCCTGGCTACCCCACGCGCCTCCCTTGCAGGCTGAGGCAGGAGAAATATCGGACACGATCGATGGGGGCGTCGTTTTCTTCGGCAACGGGGAGCGGTATCCGCAGACACGACCTCCCGTTTTGGGACTTGGTACGAGAATTTCGTCGTCACGTGCATTTCGATTCTTCTCAGGGGTCTGCAAAGCCGCTGTGGCGCAGGCCTCGTTTTTATCGCTCTTGCTCCGTTTGCGTGGCGGGCAGGCAGTCTCTGCCACCCACACGGAAAGCGGCGCACCGCGGCAGAACTCGCCGTACGCACCGCCGAGGGAATTCAGCTCTCGTTTTCCCGCCTCCCGTTCACCCACCGAGCGAAATCTCTGCTGTTGAGCCAAAATCATCTCGGCTCGCTTGGCAACAGTGCGGTGTGGTGCCCCGTCCTCCACAACAGAATCATCACTGTCGCTATCGTATGCAATGATCTGTTCTCTTCCAGCGGGAGCCGTCGTCATTTTTTTGGTTTTTGGCGAATGGGTCCCCAATGAATGAGAATGGCAGACAAACAATAAATAAATAAATAAATCCGGAAATTGTTAATGGGCAATTTTTCTGTCGTCTATGAGTCGTATGTCGTCAATAAATAATTAAATGTATGGTCTTTTCTATTCCCCAGGCTAATGAAATGCAACCGTGCCCAATAGCACCGCAATAAGCCTGCGCTATGCTAAGGGGAAAAAAGAGTAAATACAATGTACATGCGCACAAATGTATAATAAATATGCAGGAGACTGTGTTTACAAACTTTCCCCTCTCCCCCTCCCTCCTCCACCCCACCGTGGCTCTCCACCTTGCAGACACCAATATATAGCAGCATTTAAAATGATATACCAAAAACACAAAAAAAAAAAAGGGAAGACAACAACACATAACGGTTTCTTGCACGGGTTCAAATGACCATCCGCCATATTTTCCCACTCCAGAAACGCACCCAAAGAGCCACAGTCCAAGAGGCGCACTATTTTTTCCTTTCCAATCTACTTCCTCTCTCTCTGCGTCTCTTGCGCAGTAGGCAAAAGAGCCAATAAGTATGCACATCACTCCCTCGCAGCACACAACAACATGTACACAAAAAAGCCAAACAAGCGCACCCATGCATGTATTTGCACACAAAATGCGCATAAGTTCACAAATGTCGCCTCCGTCTCCGTATGCAGAAGCACCATGGGGGGGCACTCATAAGAAAAACGCACAAGGCCGATGGGCAAAAAAAAAAGCGAAAACCCGCGGAGTCAAAAAACACACACAAAAAAAAAGGCAAAACCACCCCAAAGAATGGTGCCTAAAACGCATTCCTTCTTTTCCCTCTTCTCCTCTTGCATTAGTTTATTCACATTGGAGCTGATCCCTTGCAAGCGCCTCAACAAAACCAACTACTCCCCACAACACACGCTCGCAGGCTGCCGACGACTAAATCATCCGGCAGAAAAAAACACAAAACATATATATATTAAATATTTAAAAAATGGCCTATGGGCCTTCATTCATACCACACACACACACAAATCAAAACAAGTACAGAGGCACGAGAAAAGATTATATATGCATACTATACCACTTTTATGTTACATGTATAGTATGCGTAATGGAAAAGAAAAAGTAATTCATCAAATAAAAAAAAACCACAAAATAAAAATTTTTGTGCTTAATTTCAGATAATAAAAGAGAAAGAAACAAAAACGCGGACCAAAAGTTTTTTCATCAAAAAAAAAAAAGTACTTCATTCATCCCGTCAATTAAAAAAATAAATTAAAACCTTCTTTTTTCTCCGTTTATATATATATATATATATATATATAGGGCCAAAGGTAAAATTGGAAGAAGTCCAGGCTACACACACAACATGGCCAGAGATATGCCAGCGCCGTGATTCCCCTTCCTGCCGCGTCCCTCAACAGCCTCAGAGCGTTGAAATATCAACTAACCCCTCCCGAACTAATTGGAGGCAGCCTGCCAGGAGAGCGTCCTCTTCTGGCTGAAGCCGAGGCTGGTGACATGTTTTTTTGCGCCAGAAACGTCTTATCAATATGCGGAAGCATTAATTTCTCGCGATGCCTCTTCCTTCCATGGCTCCTTAACTCCCCCGCTGCGGTTGGGCACGATGGCTTCAGCGCCACATCGGGGTTACAATTCCCAGCGCCCCCGCGGAGTGCATATGCCGCATCGCTTCTCAAATTGGCATGAGTTATTGGAAAAGATGACTTTCGCCGTACACAGAAAGGTGCATCGTGGTCAATAGCATGCCGCTTCATTGCACACAGTTCCGCTTCTCTAAACTCCTGTTTCTCCACGCGTGCTCGCACGTGTTCCTCAATGCAGGTGGTGCTGCGGTACGTGGATCGGGATCGACGTGAAGAGTTTTCTTCACGATGCACATCCACATCGTTATCATCATCATCAAAGATGCATGCCGTTAAGACGCGTTTGCGTCGCAGTTGTACCGGAATCAAAACAACACCGGGGAGGTCATCCTCCATTTCTTCAAACATCACTTGCATGAAGACAGGTGCACAATTATTTTTTTTTTTCTTTTTTATCCCCCTCGGACAATATGTAAAGATATTCTGTGGATGTACACCTCCTGAGAGGAAAAAAAAAAAAAAAAAAAAAAGACACAAAAAATATATATATCATTCAGCATTCATCTCCCCAGTCTCACAAATAAACAGCGTGAGAGCTTCCAAATAAGAGTGAGAAAAATAAAAATAAAATTAATTTTAAAAAATAATACTTTGCTTTTGCTTTTTCCGCCAATGCCCCCTTTACCCTCGGAGATGTCCTCCCCATTTTGTGATATTCCGCAATGGCAACGGTTCATCAATTTCTGTGATTGTTTACGTCGGCGTTCGGCACCTCCTCTATGATCATTATTATTACTGCGTGTGTGTGTGTGTGTGTGTGTGTGTTGGCTTCTTTTGGAGAGGATTATCCCCTCATCCTCCCACTGCGGCCACCGTGTCGACCCGCACATGGTGCTCTGCGCCCACAAAGATGCAAGACACGGCTGGCAAACAAACAAGCACACACACAAAAAGGGCATAAACTCCAAAATAAACAAACAGAAACAACATCTGACGCGCGCACATTAGACCCCTCCTTTCTTCTCGCTGCCTCTGAAATCCATCCTTTGATCCAATTGTTTCGTTGTATTGCGCCACGTTTCACCCATGCTACATAAATCTCGTGACAAAACTCTTCAACGCCGTCACTTCGCGCGGGCCTTGGTAAAGTGCGCCTTCCTTGTTTCCCTTTGTGAAGAGCCGCAGCGTCGGGAAGCCGCGCACGCCGTATTGAACTCCGATTTCGGAGTGTAAAGATGCGTCAATGTGCGCAATGACAACATTCGGCATTTCTTTCATTTCGCCTGCCAACTCGTCCCATTTGGGCAGAAGGCGAAGGCAGTGAACGCACCACTCGGCATAAAAGACGACAAACACGTGCTTCGATGGATCATTCACAACACTGTGAAATGTTTTCGCGTCAAGCTCCCTGGAGCGTTCTAATTTTACAGCGTGGGCCATGGCGGGCAGGGCGAAAAGAGTCACCACCGCGGCGGCCAAAAGAAGCAGCCGCAAGACGTTCCTTTTCCACCGCATTGAAATGACTCCCCCTTCCGTCTTCGTGTGAGTAAAATCCCCTCGTCCCCGCTTGACAGCGCGTGGAAGATGTCGACGGAGACAACAGAGATTAGAAGAAAAAAAAAAAAAAAGCACGGAAAAAAAGAAGACCGAGCAGTCAAAAAAAAAAAAAGAATAAAAAATCAAAATGAAAATCGCGTTACATGAGTACATCCAAATAAGACCCTCTCGGAGACCCTTTGCATTTCTTCTATTCCTCAAAGCCATTAATTTTCCCTAACCCCTGTTGTTGTTGGTGCATGGGCATTCAGCGCTCCCTCGTTGGACCTCGCGTTCCTCACCCCTATTCTTCCTTTCATCCCCCTCTGCCTCCGCCTTTCATTGCGTGCCTTACAAGTCAGATAACAAAGAACATGTTAGTTTTAAGGCGCAGCAAAAAATTATATTTTTGTTTGTTTGTTTGTATGCCTCTTTGCCAACCCTCTGAATGCACCACCACGCACTTATCGAGACAATCAAACCCGCCGCGAAGTAAATATGCACAGATTTAATCAAAACAAAAATGGAAAAAACAAAATAAAATAAAGGCATGTAAATAACAAATAAGACAAAAGAAATAATAATAACCACAAATTGCAGATATAAATATACACATTATTACTGCGGGCCATATTTAGACGCGCATGCTTACATGAGCGGCGGAGTAGATCCAAACTCATGTGTTCTGAAAAACAAAACTGTCAACAAGACTGAGATATCGTTGGCCGCTGTACTCAAACGGCTCCTGCTTGTCAATCCGTGTGTAGTACCGCATCGTGGGAAAGCCGCTCACTCGCATGCGTTCAATCACATCCGGGTACTTTTCACCGTCAATTCTCGCAGCCACAAATGTCAAGTAGTTGCGTTTCTGTGACTGACTCATGGAAAGGTCGTCCCAGAGCCTCATTGCCGCCACGCTGTGCCGCGACCACGGCACGTAGTACAGCACAAAGACGTCCTTCTCCGGATCCATCACGATGCTGTCAAATGTCTCATCTGTCAGCTCCACCACACGGCTGGGACGCTCCCCGTCATTTGCCACATTTGACGCATACGCCACACCCGCAAAAAAATGCACGTGAAAATACGACAAATACACAAGAAGAAAAACAACGACAAGAGGAACTGTCAGACGCATTTAAACTTTTTTTCTTGTTTACTTGTCTGTGTTTATGCGTGTATCTTCGGAGACTGTAGCCTTTAAAAAGGACTCTGCAGCAAAGAGGGCATTGTAGATGAGAGAGTGATCCGCACGGTCAGAGGTGTACACAGCCCGAGAGGAATAACGTCAAAGACACAAAAGAGGAAAACAAAAAAAGGCCCAAAAGAATAAAAATTTTACTGCGACAAACAAACAAAAAAAAAAAACAATCGTCATCATCGTCGTGTTGTCACGCTCTCGGCCCTGTGGACACGGCACATTCTCCCTCTCTCGCACTCCCACCATCACCAACAGCACCAACATACATGTGCATTATTCATATCCGTTTCCATCCCTCCCCACCGCTTCCAAATTCCCTCCGTGCCACCTCCCGTCAACCGTGACTCCTCCACGCATCCTCCCTCCCACAACAGTACCTTCCTCCCCCCTCCCCGCCCCTTATTTTTTATTCTTCCATTGAGGGTGCTTGGCGCCTCTTGCCCTCCGCTGCTCGTCTCTCCGTCTAACATGGAGGAAGACGACAAAGACGCAGCAAACCACACAAAAGCAAAAAAAAAAAAAAAACCGTCAAGAGTAACACGAGGTGAACTCCAAAAATACGCTGGCGACACCAACAGCAGGACCGCCCCATTTGAATGAGGGCATGCCCTCAGCCCCTTTTCTCCCTCTCCCACACCCATTGCACACACACCCTCTAGAGCATCCCAAATATCATCACCGGCCAACAAAAAGTGATTTCAAAGAAGCTGTGAGTGCAAAACAAGAAAAGAAAGGTAAATATACATATATATTCCCCACACTTGTTGTAAAACCAAACAAAAACTCAATATAACGCTTACAACAACAACAAAAAAAGAAAAAGAAAACATGGGTGCGGGAGGAAGACTCCATCTAAGGAAGGAAGAAAAGGTCCGATGCACATAAAAACTAACAAAAAAGAGATCCACTGCGGATTCAACCGGGGCAACAAAATTGTGGGGAAAGAAAGAAACTAAAAAAAAAAAACCGCTATATAGGAAAAAATGTCGCATACACACCGGTTTTGTCGCTGATTCCACCCCTTTCCTCAAAAAAAAAAAAAAAACACTAACGCCGTCCAGTTCATTTTTTTTTTTTTTCTCACGCAGCCATTTTATGGTTTCTACTTTTCAACTACACGCACACACACAAAGAGAGAGAGAGAGAGAAAAAAAAAAAAAAAGAGAAAAAACGAGAAAACCCCTGATAAAGAAAACTCACAAAGCCGGAAACAGACGTAGCACGTGTGTTATTATGCACTCATCGTGAAGGAATGAACTTGTAATCCGCAAACATGACGCCGTGTGGGTCATATTCCTTCACAATGTTGCGCTCCTCACCCCGTTGCACTTTGTCCCCGTCGTCAATCTCGGGGAAGTACTTTGTGTCAAGCAAATTGGTCAGCGCCGGTACAAAAGCGGCTTTCGTCTCACGCAAACGTTCCCAGTCGATGCCATAAAAAAAGGCGTGTTTCTTGATGCCGCTAAAGTCAAGGCGATCTTTGGGGTCGCACATCAGGCGCTGCATAAAATCCACCGCGTCTTCAGGCACGTCACAGTTGTCAGGGTAAAGGAGATACTCTCGCCAGTGTGTGATCTTGTAGCAGGTGGAGTTCGGGTTTGGTGAAAAGAAGGGCGGGATACCGTACAACATCTCGTACATAATGACACCAACAGACCACCAGTCGCACGCTATACCATAGCGCTGACGCAGCAAGATCTCCGGCGCAATGTAGCCGGGACTACCCACAATAGACTCAAACATGCGTCGATCGCGGAAATGCACTACACCATGTCTCTCGGCTGGTGACGCGGTGTCTGGCTTCCCTGCCATTTCACTGAGTGTTGTGCTTTCCGGCAAGGCACTTTCTTCGAGATCTAGAAGCTCCTCACCCGCCTTCGCAAACCGCTTGGATAGACCAAAATCCGTAAGTTTGATGTGTCCACTGGCGCTCAACAATATGTTGTCTGGTTTAATGTCACGGTGTACAAAACACATTTCGTGAACACTTGCGACAGCAGCGGAAAGTTCCGCAATGTAGAACCGCGTGCTCTCCAAGTCAAACTTTTGTTTTAAACAAAGCCATGAGATCATGTCGCCTCCCGGCATGTATTCCATCACCATGTAGAGATAAGTCTCATCCTGGAAGCTAAGGTGCAAACGCACCACCCATTCATTCTTCGCAGCTGCCTCCGCCATGACGTCCTTCTCTGACCTCACATGAACCGTCTGCTTTTTGCGAACCATATCTGTCTTCCGCATCCGCTTAAGGGCATACAGCTGCTTTTCTTCATCATCCTTACGGTGGCAAACGTACACCTCACCAAAGGCGCCCCTGCCAATGAGTTTCAAGAGAACAAAATCCTCCGCACACGGCTCCCGTTGTCGCGGGCCAACCGGGCGTGCACTACCACCACTACGCGTCTCCCGCAACATACCACGGTAGTGATTCTCAAGAAAAGCCTTGCTGGCCGACGCCTTCTGATGGGAGACTTCTGAAATTGGGCTAGCCTCCGTGTACGCGGCGCCTTTCAGCACCTTCTGTGCCTCTTTCTTCATGCTTTCCTTTTGAATAAAAAAGAGAATAAAATGTCCTCAACAGGCACTTTCACCCTTCCCAAATACTAATGGATGTGTACTTGCGTTTCCCCTTTGCTCCTCCTGCTATTGTTGTTTGTACCGGATGCGAGCTTATGTGCGTCCGTACGTGTTTGAGTCACACGTTTCTAATCTTTCTTCTATCCTCTCAGTTCTTTTTGTTGTTGTTTGACGGTTGCGGTTTGTCTCCTTTTTGTTATCTTTTTCTTCACCGCTTCTCTCTATTATTCCCTTTGTTATTATCTCTTTGGACAATCACTGCTTCTGGGGTTTCCTCCAGAGCAACGCAGACGGAAAGAAAGAGAAAGAAGCCAAAAAAAAAAAAAAAAATTGTATGCAGAGGAGAGGCTGTAAAAAAAAAAAAATGGACAGCCAAGGGTGCCAAGGATCACTCAACCTGGAAGTGGCACCTCTCATCCTCTTTTTACCGGCTGACTTTCATTTTTTTTGTTCTTGCTCTTCGGCCCCCTTTTTTATCGCCTTCTTATTTTATTTTTGTTGTCGTTGGAGAGAAGGAACATTGTAGTTTTTTCGTTCTTAAACTCGTTTCTAGCCCACTCCACTCTGCCGCGGAGTCGCCATGCATGGGCCCCCTCCACCGCTTCATAAGGACAGTGGACGAGAGGGAGCGGAAAACGTGGTTTTTGGACTGCAGTCACGTGGCTCATTCCTTCTCACTGAGCCAGCGGTAGTAGTCGTTGATGATGTAGTAACGCCCATCCACCTTGCGAATAACAAGACGCTGAAAAAACTCCCGCCTGTGCTCATTGTCGTACGTTACAACGCCGTGCACCGTCATGAGAAATGAGTCCGCGTGTTCATTTCCGGGTAGTGGCTGGGCGTCTACACAGTCTATCTTGTGGTTGGTCCTCGGCAGGCCACTGAGGTACGCCGTGATGGAGGCAGCATCCGGCAGCGAGTGGCCGTTCCATTCGCACAGCAGCGGCGTCCCAGGGGCGTACAGGTTAACGATATCCATCCTCTTGTTCGGGTCGTCCAGCAACTGATAAAACTGCTGCCGAAACTCCAGTGCCTTTTTCGACACCTCCGTGCAGTCCGAGTATTCCGTCATGATGGATTCTTAAAGCAGCCCCTGGCAACGTTAATCGCCTGTGCTCTTTTCTTTTCTGCGCTCTTCTTTTCGTGTGGTGTCAGCGCCACGCCTATTCCCCTTCCCCTTCCCACCCCCAGCACTCGTGCTCGTCTGATCGCTTCCTTGACCCTCGTCACCACCAGAAGAAGCAACAACAACAAAGAAAAAAAAAAAAGATAAATGTTCCAGCGACGCAAAAATCGATCACAACACACGCTGAGACCCAAAGCCACACACACACAAAAAAAAAAAAGGGAAAGAAGTTGGGGAAAATGGAAATTGCACGTGGACCACACAAGAAGAACGAGGTCACTCCTTCGCCAATTTTGTTGGCGGCTGGCGAAAACTCTTCCGGTCTCACCTCACAAAAGTCAGCAAGGAAGCGCATGAGAAGAAACCCTCGGGCGCACAGAGCAAGAAAGTAATGACGCAAAGTTGCCCCTAACCCCTCCAAGTCCACGCCTTCAATGTTTCCACCTCCCCCATGCGCAGCTGCCATTCCACACATCCACTCCTTCGTGTTTACCACAACAATAAACACCTACGCATAAATGTGCACGTCCCACTTATCATTTCTTTTCATGCGGATCCTGTTGAGAAGGGGAAAGTAAAGTTTTCCGTGAGTGTGTGTGTGTGTGTGTGTGTACTTTTTACGGGGTCTATGTCAGCTGCTGGAGCAGCGCGCCGGATAAAATGTCCCGGCAAACGCGCCGCATCGGCATATTAGACAACACCTGCCACTTCCCTTCTTGAAACTGGCGCTGCCTCAATTTTTTTGTGAGAGTCGTTAAATTATTGTCCCAAGAATGCCGCTGGTCTGCCGACGGCGTCACCATAAAGCGAGCGATGCAAGCATAAACGCACAACTTCTCCGCCAATGTAATGCCGATGGAATCCTCCTCTTCCGACTCCTCGAGAAAACATCCACAAGCCTCCATCCGCTGCACATGCTGCTCCACGACAGCAGCAAGATCGGCTTCTGTTGCTGTCGTGCACTCCATCATCGCTTCGCACTGCGCACGCAGCCGAGCAAGGAGGAAGCCCGGCTCCAGAAGCGAGGGAAGAGAGCGTATGGAGCCCAGTGTTTCCAGAACATCGTTCCATCGACCGCATGTAAGCAAAACAAACACCCGCATCAAATACGCATGCGCTTGAACTAAAGTTAAGCCAATATGTTTCGCACTGCCCAAGACTTTGTCAAGCGCATGGAGGGCACTGCAGTAATTTCCACGCTGAAAGCACATCATTGCAGCTATAAGGTCGGCGTAAAGTACGCCCATAACAAAATGGCTCCCCGCACTTACGCGACGAAGCTTCTCAGCAATATCAGGCAATGTAGAAGAGTAGCCAAGATAGCGTGCAAGCTGTGCACGTTCAAAGTGCATATGTTGCCACAGCAACAAGTGGTCAGGCGGCCAGTACTGCAGGTCACTTTTTTTAACCTTTTCTGTTCCATTTGTCATTATTTTTGTCCCCATCGCCGCCGTTTTGACGGCGGCAGCAGAAATATCCTCCTCCATTGCCTCAGCTGCGTTGGATGTAAATGCGGCTTCTCCATCCATCATGCTGCCGTCCATGCAGCAACGACTATGGAATAACATGCTGTCAGCAATTCGGGTCAGTTCTTGGTACGCTGACTTCATGTACCCATGATTCCGAAGCCAAATGGCAAACAAAAAGCGGTAGGTAGACATAAAGAAGAAATCCCCTCGGAGAACATCAACGCCATCTTCGCCATAGTGTAATTCCACAGCCATAAGAAAGTCATGCAATATATTAAACGGTCCCGATCCGGGCGAGGCGTCTGCGGCACCAACCTGTGTGGCCAACGCACGATGAGCTATTTGTCGCACAAGCTCACGCAGCAGAAGGGATGAGGGTTGATAGGAAAAAATAGAGGACGTCGTGGATGCCTCTTCGTCAATCTGAGTTAGAAGTTGACCAAGGGAAGCTGTGTTGACAGCTCTCAACGAAGAACGCACACCGTAGTGCCCCGCGATAATCGTCATAGTTTCTCGCCCTACGCCTGTGATCATCTCCGTGACAACCGTTGAAGAGGGGTCAAGAAACGTCTCCATCTCAGAAAGCCAAAGTGCAAATCGCACCGTTTGGGCAACGCTCTGAACCACGACGGAGTGGCCACCACGGACGGCTTCAGTATCTGCATGACTATTAGTATTAGTATTATTATTATTCTCGTGGCCGCCACCCAATACAGCCTGACCATCGGATGTTGCTTCACTAAAAGCGGGCCTCCCCGCTACAATACCAGCAATAATAACAGACCGCAAGTACGTGTCAACCGTCCCTGGACAAATAAGCATTAACATGGCCGCTCCCATGTAGCCCAAACAACCGGCATGAAATCGAGGTGCACTGTTATTTGTTTCGCCTCCATTATCACCTTCTCTATGAGATGCCGCATCTGCTAATTGAAGCAAAATAGCGATGTCTCCCGCAGCAGCAGGCGTGTCTTGACAGGCAAAATGAACAAGGAAACTGCTGTAATGTGCCATTGTGAGAAATTCATCCGAGCGCCATTGGTGTCCGACAAGTACGGCTGTTTGTGCACAGTGAAGAGCCGCCTCTAAAGAGTGTACAGAGAGATAAAATTGGGCGTAGAGAAGCACTCCGCTTGTGATTCTCAAAAGAATGAATTGATGTGAAAGTTGCGTGTCTGACGCTCCGCCGCCCGCCGCCGAATCACTCATCATATATTCCAGCACGTTCTGATCGGCAAACCGAACCCCACATCCGCTTTGAATAAGCATCTCCATTAAATTTCTATCGTTCGGTAAAGTGCCCTCACAAATACGTCGCAGTGCCATATACATGCTGGCAATGTTCAACTTCTGCTTCCCCTCCAATTCCGGATGAGGGGCTCTTGAAGAAGGACCATGCGTCGATAAGTTTGGCTTTTGCGGTAGCCGCGTGGGTTGACTCAAGAATGGCATTGTCCCTGGCAACACTACAGACGTCAAAAGAGATTCAAAATCGACAAGCCATTGTCCCACAACCCGTGCTACATGCATCTGCCATCCAAAGGACGCACAGCTCCAGCTGACATCCATCCACACCGCAAAGGACCGTGTGAGGCTCCTCGCCACATGTTCCGCAGTGAATTCATTCTTCAGAGTGAGCATGGCTGACAACGTTGAAAGGATCACCGCGGCCCTTTCCTTGACGCTTCTGTCGCCCCACAACGTCAGCGGTGCACGAGTAGGATAAGAGACATCTCCCGTGATGAGTGAAATAACGCAACGGAGAAAATCCTCCCGAATATCACGTCCAGCAACATCTCTGCAAAGATCCAGCAGCTCCTCAAAACAGGTGAAGGCGGCGTTACTGTCACCGCCACCCCTCGCATTACCCTCCGCAAGGACCAATGATTCAGTTTGCAAAAGTAGCCCAGTCGCCGAACTTGATTCTTCTGCAAAGCCAAACACTGTCGGCAGAGAAGACCGTTCCCGCTGCTGCTGCTGCTGCTGCTGCCAGTTATAAGACTCATTTTCAACGGGTCCCCGGCACAACGCATTGAACGCAAGAGAAAAGTTCGTCTCGCCACCATTCCGCATGTCACTCGCTACGGCCACGGTCTCTGCCTCGTTGCCATGGCCCGCCATGCGTTCGTGCATAAACGCCACACGATGAAAGTACCACATGGCAAATTTTTCGGCCGCTTCTGGATCGGACGCAACAAGCAACGGCCAAAGGGAGACCATGGCTTTTCCGCAAAGATACAGCGCGACATCCGTGAGCCGCGGCACGCCCTCCGCATTGGGGACACTAAGCGACGGTCCCCTTAAGCTCATACTTGTAGCCATCAAAAATCCTTCAAGCCCCTTTTTTGCCGCCGCCTCTTCTCTCACGCCTTCGGTTCGCTCCCCTGTGCTTCTCTGCCCTTCCCTCAAGAGCATGAATGCGGCGCAGACACCCACACATCAAAAAAATAAAATAAAAGAGAAAAGATTTTTTTTGTTTCAAACACAGACACGCACCACAAGAATAATCGCAGTTCCAATCTCAAACAAAGAAAAGGAAAAAGAAGGCCATCAAACAAGTCTCCATGGAAACATTTGAATCGCAACAACATCTCCCTCTTACCATCGCACTCGAACAGCCTTGAAATCGCAGCTTCACGTTAGTTCATGAGGTCGGTATCACGCTGATAGAGCTGATTCCGAACAGTATCAAAAGTGTCCCGACCACGTCGCTTCAAGCGAAGTTTCTTCATTGACATACGTGGAATTGTCTTTGAAGCGCCACGCTGCTCATTTGCCAACGCCACTTCCTTTGCAAACTGCGAGCGGTTCCAAAGACATTTAGGGCACGCCGTAACACCACGCTTTAGCAGACAACGCAATCGCACAGAAAGACGGTAAGGTGACATACATATCCGGCACACAAACGTCACCACGGTGTCGTCATGGATGGTCATCTTCAACAACTTTGCGCTAGACACGGTTCGCGCCACCTCTCGCAATACGTCTGGTCGTTGGATAGCAAGAAGGTTCAGCGGGGTCGCCACGGCACCACTGCACTGAGGACAGCGATGATAGCGGAGAAAACGATCCGCGATGGAGGCTGTGAACTCATGGGCACACCAACGGCACCTCCACTGAAGTAATCGGTTGCTTTGCAACGAAATAGCCGCCGGGTCCTCGTGCGACTGCAGCAGTGCCTCGGCGAGTAGCACCGCGTCGTCCTGTAAGAAACGCTTTACCCCAATGGAACACTTCTCACCGCTCTGCTGCGGCAATGACAATGATGATGATGAAGTGCTTGCATCAGAATGGGAAGAGCTACACACGCCACAGCCCTCGCATAAGGGACACAGTGGCAGCGTTGCTCTTCCATGACGCAAATCTTCATTTTCCTTATGATGTTGCTGTTGTTGCTGCTCGTACCGATGTACACGGGAGTCAACAGACTCTTTCCATGACTTCTGGCAATGGGGACAAACCCACCACACCACAGTGCTACACGGCAACGGCACATCTGTCACAGACTCAAAAAAAACGCGGTTATGAATGACAGCGTTGCGAAGGTCGTCCCATTGCGCCGCAAGAAGAGGGTGCACCTCAGCAAGCCGTCGTACACGAGGGGGTAACAAACGTGGCCTTGCATTCTCTTCGGAGTTTACGCCGAAAACGCACTTGGGGCAAGCGTAAAATGAGGAGACCTGAGGGTCCATTCGATCCACTGGACGAGCAGACCACTGGCACCCGCATGCACCGCACTGCCATGAGACCACATGCACCCATGAAGGCAGGACCTTTATGACGGCTTCGGTAGAAGATGCAGCGGCACCCGATGAAAGCTGAATCATGTGCCTCAAGTTCCGGGCATTCTCCTCACAGGAAAACTCCTGCTGCAAATTCGGTGGCAAAGCTTCAAGAGAGAACTTCACTTTCGGGACGCAACGGCCCATCAATGAGAGTGTCGCCGTGCAGAACGTCCTAACGGCAACACCCATCGTCACCATTTCGCAAAAGTGATGGCAGCAGCGTGTCATGCCACTCACAAAACTCGTTGCGGTGCTCCTCCTGTGAATCACAGGAATGAACAAAATTCACCGCCGTGGAATTGGGGAGATGAGCACAGCAGAGACGGATACAAATACACACACACGGGGGGGGGAAAGAGAGAGAGAGAAGCTGCTGCTGCTGCCCCTTCCTTCACCCTTCAAAAAAAAAAAATTCCCAAAAAAAAAAAAAAAGCAAAAAAAAAGAAATTAAAGTGAAAGAGCGTTTAATAAACAAACACAGAAGGCAAAAAAATTGATATTACTAATAATATCAATAATAATAATAATAATAATAATTGGCAAAAAAAAAAAAAAAAAAAAAAGATTCTTCCTCACAAAAAAGGGACCTAAATGTCTTTTTAACTATCCTGTCTGACGGCCACGCGGGTCATTTGCGGCGGCTCTTTGACTTTTTTGTAGATTCACGCGGCGAAGACAAACTACGTTTTTCTCGAAGCATTGCGGTGGTCGGGCTTGGTGGCAAGACAGAGACACCAACGGGGCATCTCACAGTTGACGTCGTCAGACGACGCTGCTGTAAAACTGCACAAAAGAGATCGTTGGGAACTATAAAAATACACAACGGTTCTTGGGGGCAGGAATAGGCCTGGCCCCACATTGAGCTCGTCACATTCACTTGTGGCATCACTGCAACTGTGGCACAACTCGCATCCTTCGTGAGAGCGCCACCGGAAGCAAGAATGACGTATTTGAGATCGTTATCAGGCGGGTCTTGTGGTTCAGCCTCTGGATGTACCCAAAATAGCTGGCCAGCAAAAAGTGCCTGACGCTGGCAAGCAGGTACTTGTATAAGCTCCTGTAAGGAGAAGGCGTTAACAGTTTCTATACTTCGCCGTGTGCGTCGTTCCGAATACGGGAATGATGCGAAATCCATCAATCGTGTTGCCGTTGACGTTGTCGTCTCTGAGGATATCTTCAATGGCAATGCAAGAACGGCATCAAGCCACGCTCGGTCCACGATGTGCTCCACAAATGGCAAAGCCGTCAATAGTTTCACACTACGCATCAGTGGTCCATCGATTACAAGAACCCTCGCACGGCCAAACTCCGACCTGGGGGGATTCATTACAATGCCCAAACGACGGAGTTTTGTCTCCTTTGCGGATGTGAGACGCAGCCCGGTAGTCACAATCCTTAATTTGCCATTTGATTCCAACTCCGCGCCACCACAAGGAGGTTGGATGAATGGCTCAACATCGCTCTTGAAGCTCACTTGTTTCCTGCACTTTGCTCGACTCCTGCTTTTGGCCACAGCAACAGGCTTCTTTGGCGGTCGCCGCGACTGAGACGGCACGCGCCTTGCCACTCGTATAATAGGGGAAAACGTCCACTGCACTTCCGCATCAAACTTTTCTACAGGTTTGGTGGCGCCATGGTGGCCGGTTGGAATCTCCTCTGATGCATCGGAGGGGATGCCATCTGCTTGAATGCGCAGCCGATAATGATCCCCCAACATGAGCTCCACGGAGCCAACACCGTTTTTAACGGAAAATGTGTAACGATGTGATGGTAACAATCTTACCGCGTGGTAGAATGTCCCATTGGATGAGGAACAATCGACAACATCGAAGGAGTTCCAGCTGTAAATGGGACCGCTTGGTGCCGTGGCGTTATGGTCTTGAGCGAGTGGGTTCGTCATCAGGCGGAAATGCAGCCGCACCTCGCAGTGCACACGGGACACCGAGCAGCGTGACTGAGGCACATTTAAACCCCCGACTGCCGCAGGAATATCGCTGCGTCCAACTTGATACACGCAAGTAAGCCTTGCCGACGGTGGGGGTGCAGCGGCAGAGCCCCACCAGACTTCATCTTTAGCAGGAATCAAAAACTGCCGCACCCCTCTCGACCTCTCCGCACATTCGCACATCTCCCAGTACGTGCACAGTTGCGGAAACCCAACCGTTTCAAATTCTGTTAACTCTCTTTCTGTTCCTTCTGGGCGCAGTGGTGTTGTGCTAGGCACAAGACAAACCTCAAGAAATGAGGCCGATGCTCGAGGGTGTTTGTTCAAGGCATTCGACACAGAACGCGGTGGTTGACTTCCACCGCAGTGTGGCACTTCCGCATCGGACGCAGCGCCATCTTTGGCGCCACAGAGAGCATCGGCTGTGTCGTCATAATCATCTGAGAGAAGCGCCGTATGCGTTGAGCACGTCTCTACGTCGCTGCCTTCGTCGCATGCCAAAATTGTCGCCCTGTCATCGTCATCATAATCCACGGTATTTTCTTTGTTCTCCGCCACCCCACAGTTCGGGAGGGAAGCCACAAAAGAAGTGAATGTCGCCTGCATCATGGTAACTCAAAAGTACGCTTTTCTTTTTGCTTACAAAAACGGTAGATGGATAAAGCCAAAAAATAATAATAATAAAACATACAAAAACAGTAACAACATGGGAAGCATGAGCAACCCCGCTGCATGGCAACATTAATGTGGAAATAAAAAAAAAAAAAAAAAAAGAAGAGAGAGATACAACGAATATAATGCAGTAGAAACGCCGGTTAGGCCAAATCACACGCCGAAACTCCAACTCCAGACATCATTGGATCCTCCTCCTTGTCGTTGCCTGCACATTTGCCCCCTTCTCTCATACAAGAGCATACTCAGTGATCCTGTTTGTGTCGTACATCGCAATAAAGACTTGCGTTCCGTCCGCTCTGAAGGCAGCGCCTGTAGGCAACACGTTGGGGACATGTTGCGTTGCGATGGGCTCGACCAGTGTAACGCCATTCACTGTACTCTTTGGCATCGACCACACAGTGAAATAACCGTCCTCCGCTCCGGAAATCACCGTGTTGGTGGCAGTACAGAACGCCAGTGTGTTAATCCAGCGCGAATGGGCGCAAATTTCCACCCGCATCTCGCCCGTGCGGCTATCGAACACCTGCAACTTCCCGGCCCCGTTCGCGGCCACTGCAAAGTCCCCACCACTGACTATCTGCACCGCCGTCACACACTCCGACGTTTCAAAAAAAGCAAACGGCTGTTTGTCGCGGTCCCAAAACAGCAAACGGCCCACGGAATCCCCTGTGACGGCAAAAAGCGGGGAATCATGAAACGGATTCAGCCGTGCCGCAGTAACTGCGTGCTCCATGTGTCCCTTCACTGCCGACTGGACTCGAAACGGCGTATTTGGCGTTGCATCAAACTCCGCAAAAATCACGACCCCTTTGTTTGTGCTAACGAGGACGTATGCGACGCCGGTAGGCGAGGAGACAATGTCACCGCAACAGCCATTGCCGTTTGAACCATTGTGTGGCACAAGGCCTAGTGGAGACTCCTTTGCCCAAAGCTGTGTGGCCGACTCTGTAGTGATGAGAATGAGAATAGAGTGATCAGGATGCAGCAGTCCTATAGGCGCAAGTGTGGCGGTACAATGTACAATCATCTCCTTCTCGGAGGTTCCAATTGGAAGTACATGAGTCTTCTTTGCTTTGATGTCCCTGACAATACAATCCTTCCTTGAGGCGTACACCAGCGCCCCGCATTCTTCAACAAAAGTAAGGTTGTTGTACAACAGCGAAGGCGGCAGACTACCCCCAGACAACGTGTGTTCCTCAACGCTCAGAAATGTGCGAGGCATCGTACACACCTCGTCTCTAGAGGTGTGATATCGACAAAGTGATGTCTCCTCCCCTGTGGTGTGGAATAAAGAGGATCAAAACAAGAAAAAAAAAAAAACACACAGAGAGCAACAGATTGTGTGTGTATCTAGGTTCCAATGATCCATCATGCAAAGTGAGTAAACAGAGAGGCCGCACTGAGTTTTTCCAATGAGATGCTCAAATAACAAACGATGGGAAAGGGAAAAAAAAAATTATAAAAATGTGTTTCAAAAGAACGAGAAAATAAACTCATCCCTAATAAATTCACGCCTTTTCTTTTTTTTTTTTTTTTTCTGCAACTCCGACTTCTCGCTCTACCGACTACCGCGCAACCGTCAAACACCAACAATTTTCTTTTTGGTTTGTTTGTTTGTTTGTTGCTCGCGAGTTCTAAACACGCAGCAGCGAAAGCACCACAATGACGACGCCAACGCACTGCAGCGCCACCAACGCGATGTACACCAAAGGCGCCGACGAAAGAAGAGCAACAGGAATGTCTAGACAATTGCTCGGCGTCAATGACCCCACAGTTTTGTTGTCACTCGGGCTGCGGCTCTCCTGCCCCACGGGAGCGGGCAACGTGTGGCATCGCGCGGCGGTCTTCCAGTCCTGCACGGACAACGCCGGAATGCATCGCCGCACAAAAGACTCTCTGCCAAAAAATGCCTGCAGAGAAAAAGGCGTCGCCGTGTCCACCTCTTCATAGCGAGCATGAATAGGCAGCAGAAGAAGCCCTTTCGCCGTAGGATTCCGCTTCTTTGTTGCCCCTTCCCTTGACGACAGCTGTCTGAATGTGACGCGCACGCTGTTCACCTTGTACCCCACAAGGAAGGCAGGCGCTTCAATGTCAAAAAAAAACGTCGAGTTGATGTCAAGCGGGGTATATTCCCTGGTGACATCTTCACCCAACGCGGTGATTGAGTAAAGCTGCTTCACCTCTGCCGCGTCAAAAAAAAAGGCCCTGGGAAGCTCAAGGAAGACGCAAACCTCGTCATAGTGTAGCGGAAACTCCACGGCTAAATGCATGTGATACCCGGCGCCACGGAACCCCCATCGACACTCGTCTGTTATCGCCTGCGTCACCGTCAACCCCGCGTTGCTGTCCGCCGCAGCGGTAGAAGCAAAGACAGTATGAAAAAAGAGGTGCAGGCACACCGTTACAACAAACACACACCTAAAACAAAAAAACTTTTCGTGCACATGCACTGACGGAGAAACACAAAGAGGCATCATGCCGGGGGCGCTAGACTTAAACGGTCACGCTGCTAAAAACGCAACAAAAAAAAAAAATGACAAAAAAACGATACACAGAAACATGCAACAGGCAAACACAGAGAGAAAAAAAAAAAAAAGGACAAAAAATAATGTTCAGTAAAAACAAAGTGTGTCCACATGGCGACAACGCATAGCCATTCCACACGACACTTTCTCCCCTCTCAGCGCTTCTCTTTATTGACTAATAAGTTGCAAACATTTTATTGTGTGTGTATTTGTGTGCGCTTGTACCAAAAGCCATAAAAAGTGGCGATTTTCTGATATGAGAGACAAAAAAAAAAAAAAAAAAAAAACAGATGGGGACCAAACTAAATTTAAATACGATACTCCGCCTCCAGTTGCTTCCACTGCTCCAATATTGCCTCGAGGCCTTCAATATGCGACTTCAAGTTTTCCTCATCGGTATCTTCATCGTGGGGAATAAACAAATTGCCCTCAACTGCTTCATCCACCTGCATTGCCACGCGCACGTCACTGGCCCATGCAAGGTCCTTTTCAACGTCCTTTGTGACGTCTGCCATAGTGGCAGAAAAGACGCAGGGACGCCTTTTACCCCTGAAGCAACTCGACCGCTCCTGTTGCAAAGTGTTAGGCCGCACAGACTCTCGACGATGCGACTCCGCCATCCTCCGCGACACCGGGTCAACCCGCGGCCTGAATGTACACGCTTGCGCTAGTTCCTTTTCCACTTCGTGACGCCGTGACTCCGCACGCTGTTGCCGCATTCGCAACAGCCGCGCGTTACGTTCCTCAAATTCCGGTGAGACAGCAGGTGGGACAATGCCCCTGAGACCACGTCTGAGAGGCTTGCAATGGCAACTGCAGGATTTTGAGGAAAACGATAACTTGCGGTTTGTGGCTGGAGTCGGTGGTTTTGGCTCGGGGCTTCTCTTCTTTCCACCCGCCGCACCCCAAAGTTTTTGACACGTTCCATCTTGATGGGAGACGCCTACATGCGGCACGGATGTAGTGGTTGGTGCCGATCTTTCGGCCGTACGTTGGCGTTGGCGGAGGCGCTCCGCAAGCTCCAATGATCGCCGACTCAATTGTGGCTTCATTGCCCGCATTTTCTCCTTTTCCTCCTCTCGCTCCTTCTCCACTTGCCGCCTCAACTTATCTCGCCGACTTTCGTCTCTTTCCCACATTGAGCGCACATATTCCGTGATTTGCGTGATGGTGCGCCTCGTTTTCGGTTGTTGATGCTGCTTCTCCGCCTCACGCTGTCGAAGCTGTTCCCGCTTCTTCTCGCTTTCTTCGCGGTAGCGCATAAAACGGTCATAACAACTGTCTTCAACTGCATGCGGCCCTCCTTTCCGTTGTGTTTCGCTTTCAGATGCCTTTCGTCGCCCAGTCGTGCGTAGGATGGTCGGTTTAAAGCTCGGGGCATACTTTTCCTGCAGTTGTTTCAACCATGACTGGCGGGCGGCCGCGTGCTGCGTCGAACTTTCCATGACACCGACACGCTTCCTTCTCCCCACCATTTCCTTCAGAAGACGTTCCGATGTCACGTTGACCTTTACGACGGCACGTCGTCTTGTCTCATCGGCAGACTCAAGTTGCGCCGTGATGGACTTTATGTGGCTCGCCCGTAGCGTTTCCCACTCCCGGGAGGCCTCCACGTATTCATTGAAAGAACGCGGGCCGCGCCTTTCTGCGTACAAGGAGACCTGTGGAGTGTGGCGTCTTTCCTCCTCCTCATTGAGCTGCCGTTGACATTCCTCCGCCTCCGCCTCCCGCTGTTTCCGCTTCGCCTTACCCCGTCGCAGATAATAGTCAAAACACCGCGGCGGTGGTGGGCATTGGGTCTCCTCAGCTGCCAAAGAAGACTGCCGTGATGCTGCAACAACAGAGGCCACTGCGACCACGGGACATCCCTCTTGAAACAATTCCGCTCCGTAGGGCGGTAACGGCGACGGTGATGATGACGATGAAGATGTTAGTGGTGTGGACCGTTGCTCCATTTCAGACTGTCCGAACTCTTCGATAGAAGATAAAGGTTCATTTTCCACACGAGGAACCATAACAATTTGCGGCAACTGCAAGGCAGTCCCCCCGCTAAACACCCCAAACGCATCAACCGAGTTCATCACTCCGTGCGACGTGTTGTCCTGTTGCTGTGGCGGTGACAGTGGCGGCAGTGGGATCTCAATGTTGGTGGAGGAGAAAGTAATGGAAAAGCTCTCATCGTCAGGAAGCAATATACCATTGTCGCACTCATCCTCAGTCTCCAAAACAATAGAACTGTCCGCAGCGGCATCAACAATACCATCGCCTCCCCGAGGACAAATTGAACCCTCCAAGTTTTCCGATAGGGCCACTAATGATGATAAGGCAGACTGCTGTTGACGGTTGTCGTCGTTGCTGCTTCCCTCCAACGCGTCAAGCGGCACCTCCCTCCCCTCTGCAGCCGCATCAATTATCACTACCACTTCCTCGACTGCCACTGCAGATTCCATTGATCCGTGGGGAACGTACCGAACCTCCTCAGAAGACGTCGTGCACAATTCGCACTCAATGGAAGGTGAGGTAAGTACTTCCCGCGGGGTACTCAATGATGTATATAGAGCCGCGCCAGGTTCCTGCAGCCGTGTTTCGCCTCCGACGGCAGTCTGGACCATGTCCCTTATGGCATTCCCGTCGTCCCGCACCAGCCAGTCGGAGGAAGAGGTTGTCATGCAAAACGGAGAAGAGGCAGGAGGCGGCAGCACGGGCGGTAAATCAACCTCCCCCGCAGTGCGTATTTCCTCATTTATCCAGCAGGAAGGGCGCACATTCTTCGACTGGTACCGTGCGACTTTGTTTTTGGGGCGCTCAGCCTCCTTCGCATCATTCCGCTGCTGCAAGATATCATACGCGTACATCATACAACCAACTCTCCGCGTTTTCCCCGCGGATTTCCCGTTCTCGCAACTCTCCTTTGCAGCGCCAAACGCGCACCCCAAGCAGCAAAAAGAAAGAGGAGAAAAATATTGATCAATGCCCGCTCAGCCGCCGACAACCGGACCCACCCTCTACCCTTTGTGCCAAACAAATAACAATCAAAAAAAAAAAAAAAGGAGAAAGAGATAAAGGTAAAATACCGCAAGACATCACGCAAACGCAAAAACGCATTACAAAACTCAAAGGGAGCAAGACACCAAACACAACCCCCAAGAAAAAAAAAAGAGAGGGGTGAGTAATTATCGCCTTATCAGTCATAAAAGCCTGCACATATCACCGTACCCAGTTTGCGCCGTTCTCTCCCTTTGGTTTCTTTTTTATTTTTATTCTTTTTCCTTTCCCCTTTTCCCCATTGTTACCGTTGTTGTGCTTGCTCTATTTCTATTTCCTTTTCGGCTAGAGGCGCAAATAAACGTCTGGTTTGCACATCACTCACGTCAAACACCTCCCACTCCTCCCAACCAAACGACCGCGCACAAATATAAAAGGTCATGCATAAATCGCCATGGGGCGTGCATACAACAAAACAAAAGTATCTTGAAGAACGGAATCCCTCCAGCCCACGGTCCGCACGGCTTCGTTTCCTTCGGTAAATCCTCTACGCCTTCTTCTCCAACGGTGTCCGACGCCCGTTCCCTCTCTGCGCACCGCTCTCCTTGCTTCTACCACCGCTACTGCTGCGTGTGCGCTCCGATGGTTTAACGCCACGTGAGTGGCGTCGACGAGTCACGTGCATGACGACAGAGAACTGCGCAAATGCCACTGGTGCCACAGCAATGCCCACAATCTCGCCCCAATATTCGCCACGTGCACCAGCCACCGCGCGTCCCACAGCCGATCCACAAACTTTTAACACTCCCAGCGTCACATGCACGGCAGATCTTTTCAAAAAACCACCGGATCCTTTGCTTGAGCCGCGGGCCAATTTCCGCATCACACAACACTCAACCGCATCCACAACCACATCACTCAGTAGTTGAAGTGTGCTACGTTTCATGCAGTCCTCGGCAGCGGCTAGTGGAGAAATGGGCATGTTGTATACTCTCAACTCCGATTGCGTTGGAAGCGGGCCAAAAAGTCTGGAGAAAAAAGGGGGAAGGCGAAGAAATTTCACCAAATCCGCCACGTGAATTTGATGCATCTTCGGGTACATATCCCACAAAAACACCACCGAGTTGCCATACGCCGTGTTGGAGTGAATTAATAGACATGCAAACCCGGTCTGAACCGCCACACGGGAAACAGCGTCCGCAAAGATAAGAAATTTCACCTTTCCTGCCTCTTTCATAATACCCAACACCTTCGAGAGGGGCATATCCACCCCTTCTGCCACACATTCATCCAACTTCATCTGAATATCGACCATCGTCGGTAGTACAAGGCCGACACTCAACGCCAACGGGGTAGTGTTCTCGGCAAAACGCTTATAAACGATGGATCTCGAAGTGAATCCATGGTTCGGAAAAACACGTCCCTTTGGCGCAAAAAAGTAATCCCGGCCGCCCAATGCGGGCACGCTAGCAACCTCCGTCATGCCAGAAACCAGATAAAAAGATACAACTAAAAAACCCAAGCATCACAAAAAAGTAAAAAAAAACAGCAATTAAACAAAAAATTCATTGTAAAAATATGCACCCCACTTTTTTATAAGTGGACCTCAAAAAATCCAAAATAAAGATAGCTTTCCATTTGTCCATCGAAATGACAGCACCTGCCAAAAGTCCACTATGCGTTCAGAAACCAAGAAATTACAAGAACCAAATAAAAAACAAAAAAATCTAGCCTCAATGGGTATCCTGTGAAGCGACATCGATAGATACAGCCACCAAGGGACCTCTAACGTTGAGGGGTGTGAGGGTTTCAGTGCGCTCTCCCACGGGCAATTCCGTTTTTGGTAGAATGGCCAGTCGTACTCCACAAAGGTGCAACCCGCGGATTTCTTTTTATTGCGCGTACGCGAGCCCTACGCCTACTACTCAGCGGGTTTTGTCTCAACACACGCAGAATCAGGCGTATAATTAAAATCACACAAAAATAACAATCATAACAGAGAATTATAACATGAAAACTGTCAGTACAACAGGATTAGATATTAAACGGAGGATGCGGCACACAGCCCGGGGAAGCACACTCCGGCACGACAGAGGAGGCGAGGTGGTGCACCGTGGCACAGAGAGACAGAGAGGGAGAAGGCGGCGGAGAGGGCTGTGGAGGGAAGGAGCGAGCCAGTCCCGTGCCTGTTGTGGGTGGCTGGGTGCACGGAGATGTAACTCATCGTCACGGTCATACAAATGCCTCGATTGATCGCATCATGAAGTCGTCAGCCGCCCTGTGCGTTTCACGCCGTCGGTGCTGCTCTTGCGGGCCCGATTGAGACAGTCACGGCACAGAAATGATGATATACGGCCGCCGCCTCACCCACGGAGCACGCTCCACTCACGCACGCTCAGCACTCCTTCCCCTCCGCGCAATGGCCGTGGGATCTGGGGCAGCACAGGTGCAGGCGAAGTGATCGTTGCAAGCACGGCGCCTGTGTTTTCGCTGGCCGTCAGCATCGGAGGCGGCACTCACACCGCAGAGGTGCTGGTGGCAGTGGGGCAAGAAAAAACGAACGGCCGGTCCATCCCGCGAGAGGGCAGCCAAGTAAAGCATCCTAAGCAACAAGAGAGGCAACAAAAAGAAGAAACAGGCAATCGGGCAAGACCCGCCTCCACTCCAAAAACACAACACAGCTACCGCCCCAGAGCGCTGACACATCCCCAGTGAGCCCAACAAGAAGGAAGTAAAACACCCGCACATTCATTCGGTGTCCGTCCACAAAAGAGAAAAAAAGAAAAACCTATTATCAGGTGCCTCCGCCATCACCGAAAAAAGACTTCTTTCAAACCCTCGGCGCGTTTTCACGGGATGTCGCAATGCGCAATAATAATAATAATAATAATAATAATAATAATAATAAAAGAAAACCATTGGGAAATGGGGAAGAAGTCAGTTCCCTGCGCTGTCGCTCCGCCAACACGCCTTTGAACACACAGATGCACCACAGCCAGAGGGGATGCATGGCTTCAGCACCGGTCATTTCCAAAGCAAACGTCCTACACACACCTTACATAATGTCCTCCGCCGGGCGGTGAGGCCAATGAGAAGTCACAGGCACTCTTGTAGCCGGGAGAGGGCGAAAAGACTTTGGCTCACCGCGGCAGAAAACAAAGCAATAAAAAACATAAAAAAAAAAAAAACAATAGAAAAAAACATGAAAAAAATGTCTGAGCTCCTATAGCAAAAGGATTCCAAGAGAGGCCCAATGGAGCAGGGGAGGTGCGGTGTCGGCAACAGGTACGGGTCAGGGTGCGACAATCACCGTGCCGATCACAATGAGGAGAAGAAGCGGCGCAGAAGTGACCGCCAAAGCGCTGCTCGCATCACTGTGCTTCAACATGGTGAGGCAGACATCGCTGAACAAGGGGCATCTTATGCTGCCCGCCGTGAATGGCGCCGGGGGCGTCAGCGTCTGTCCCGGTGCACAGGGATGCCACTCCTCGCTGCCCCTGTACCGCACACTTAGCGTGCCCTCACCACACCTCAACTGCACGCACACGTCACCAACAACCGTACTGCCCATCCGGAGGTTCTCCCCAGTCAAGCAGCGCGAGGACGGGCCAACAACGCTCCCAGGCATGATGGCCTCGTCGCCATCCATGCATCCAGTGCCATTCATTGGCGCGATGAAGGGGCAGTACTCCATCATGGCCCCTCGCCTGGAGCCCTGCTTGGTGGCGAAGTACTGGAACTCCGGTGGGATGTTATCGTCCTGGTAAATTGCGCAGGTCCCCAGCGACTGGCGATCAGACGTGCACCGCAGAGTGGCGTCGCTCGAGTCGGTGCAGAACATATCAGGGTACAGCGTGGCACCGTCCGTCACGCACTGTCGGTCAGCAGCGCGCAGCCGGCTCCGCTGCCCCAGCT